TGAGTGACTGAACTGAATTAAGGCACAATGATATTCATGTACAAGGACAGACTAATGGAAGAATAGGGTGTTCAGAAAAAGACCCACATCTATACAGTCTCCTGGTTTATAACAAAGCTGACACTTCAGTGAAGTGGGAAAGGTGGTCTGGGTCAACTTAGACCGCATTGTAGGACCAAATGAATCTTGACCCACATACCCCAACATACTAAAAAAGTAATTTCAAATGGATAGTAGATACACATGAGAATCCCAACAAAGCTTTTAGAAGAAAATATAGGCAATTATCTTCCTATGATTATTTTCCTGATTTTTAAAAATTGAGATATAATTGACATCTAACATTGTACTAGTTTAGGTGAACAACATAATGATCCAATTTATGTATATATTTAGAAATGATTATCACAATAAGTCTAGTTAGCATCTGTTACTATATACTTACAATTTTTTTTCTTGTCCTCAAAACTTATAAGTACTACTCCCTTAGCAACTTTCAAATATACAATACAGTATTATTAACTATAGTCACCATGCTGTTCACTACATCCCCAGAACTTCTTTATTTTATAACTGGAAGTTTATACCTTTTGACCACCTTCACCCATTTCCCACACTCCCTATGTCCCCAGTAGGTAACAATTAAAAAAAAAAGAGAAGAAAAAAACTTAAGTAATAAAACCATAAGGGAAAAAATGATAAACTGGACAACGTTAAATTGAAGAACTTTCGTTCTTCAAAAGACATCATCAGGAGAGTGAAAAAGCAATCTCCCGAGACATAAAATATTACATATCCAATATGTCTCATATCCATAATATTTAGGAACTCTTACAAACTGGTAAGGAAAAAAGAAACAACCTATTGGAAAGACAGGCAGAAGAATTGAACAGACGCTTCACAAAAGGATATCCAAATGCCCAGCAGACATGAAAAGATGCACAGTTCATCAGTCATCAGAAAAATGCAAATTAAACCTCAGAGCAACTGACTTTCCCCTCACTCAGCAGGATGGCTACAATGAAGAAGACAGACAGTATCAAGTACTGGTAAGCACGTGAAGAAACAGGAACTCATACACCGCCTGTAGGAGTGTAAATTGGTACAGGGACTTTGAAAACCTGTTTGGCGCTATATTCCACTTCTAGGAATATACTCAGCAGAAGCGCTTACATATGCTCACCAAAAGACAACCATAAGAAGGCCTCAGCAGCACTATTCACAACAACCCCACGCTGGAAACAGTCCATATCCATCAATGTATCCAGTAGAATGTAGAAATAAACTGGTGTCTATCCATACAGTGCAAAATTACGCATCAGTGAGAATAAATGAACTACCAATAAATGCACGCATGTGTACTAAGTCGCTTCAGTCATATCTGACTCTTTGCGACCCCATGGACCGTAGCCTGCCAGTCTCCTCTGTCCATGGCATTTCCCAGCCAGGAATACTGGAGCGGGTTGCCATGCCCTCCTCCAGGGGATCTTCCTGACCCAGGGATCGAACCCGCGTTTCCTGCATTGCAGGCAGATTCTTCACTGCTAAGCTACCCGGGAAGCCCCACTGCTAAATGCAACAAGAGTTAATCAACATATTGAGTACAAAACACCACACACAGAAGTACAGAAGTATGACCCCAAGTTTCCAAAGTTCAAAACCAAATAAAATTATTTATGATGTTAAAGCCAGGGTAGCAGTCACCCTTGGGTGAAAGTGACTGGAAGACACCTCCCCCAAAAGGGCATCTGGAGTGTGAGTGATGTTTTATTTATCCTGCAGTGACACTGGGTACGCTGTACCCTTAAAATCTGGGCACTTTTCTGTATGTAGCTTGTACTTCAATTTTTACAAAAGGTTTTAAAACTAACTAGACCGTGACTTCCTCTGATGGTGGGTCATTTCCGATGCTCCCTTGCCCCTGGGTCAGCTCATAGAGTGTGTACCCCATTCTCCCCTCTCTTAGCTGCACTTGGCTGGGTGTGTGTGTTTCCTAGTGTCTCCAGGAGGAAGACAGGGGGCTGACTCTGTCTCGCTCAGTACTGTCAAGCGATGCCCAGCCCATGGCCTAGGTTCACGAAATGACTGTGGAAGGGATCCCCCCTCATAGACCCTTTACCCTTAAGTAAAGCCCTGCTCTTGCGGAAACACTGTCACAAAGGCCATCAGAGGAGAGAGAGGCTGCGAGCAGAGAAAAGAGGCGAGGAGACTGGAGGGAAAAGAATCTACGGTTCAAAACGGAAGCTACCTGAGCGAGCCAGGCTGCCCTGGATCAAGGACTCTCTGCACGAGCTTCTTGGCGACAGAGAAGGTGACAGCGCTCTCCGAGGGCCTTTTCACCCCGTTTCACCGCCGTAGGGTGCTACGGGCGGCCAGGTGCAGGGGCGGAGAGGGACTGACGGCGAACCCGGCAGAGGTGCCCCAGGGAAGGGGCGGGCAAGTCCGGGAGCGGGGACCGGGAATCGGCCGCCACCTGGGTCGGACGCGGGCCTGGGGCTGTTTCCACTGCCTGCGGGGGTCCTGCCGGCCCCGCCCCCTGCTCTCCCCGCCCACCTCGGCCCGCGGGGCCCCGAGCGCTCACCTGCGCCCGGGTGCGCCGGGCGCCGCCTCGATGCCACCGGTGCCGGGCGCGGACTCCGGCGCGGGGCCGCCCGCCCGTCCGGGGGAAGTGCCTTCGGCCGCCCGCTGCCCCGGAAGCGCGGAGGCGCCAGGCCCCGCGGCCCCTCCTCCGCCCGCCGCTCTCGCGCCGGGAGCCGGGCCTGAGGGGACGCCCTGCCCGCCGACGGCCACGTCCTCCGCCGCCGCGTGTTCGGGCTCGCGCGGGGAGGCTCGCGGGCATCCGCGCAGCCACTGAGCCGGCGGAAGCTTGGCGAACTCTTTCCTTCCGATTCCCCGAAACCAGCAGCGGAACTTGCAGCCTCGGGGCTGTTCTCTGTCGGACAAGGAATGTACCTTTGATTCACTTTTGAGTCCTCTCAACACCAGCTGAGCACAAGGGAAGCCCAAGAATACTGGGATGGCTAGCCTATCCCTTCTCCAGCGGATCTTCCCGACCCAGGGATGGAATCGGGGTCTCCTGCATTGCAGGCGGGTTCTTCACCAGCTGAGCCATCAGGGATGCCCCAACACCCTGCCAGGGAAGCGTTGATACCTTTTTTTCTTTTCAGGCAAGTGAGGGAAATGATGCCAGACTTTTCCAAGGTCCAGGCACAGTCGGTTCGGTGGTAACAGCGGAGAGGCAGGCAAGCCCCTGGGGCGGCCAGGCCTGGCCAGCTCCCCTGAAGTTCACGTTCAAGTCCAAGCGCACTGGCCAGGCGCTGCCCTGCAGGCACTAAGGCCAAGTGAGATGGGCAAACGGTGGCGAGTCCTGGGTTAAACAGAGTGAAGGGACATGGCTTTGGGATGTTGATGGTCGTGTGAAGCAGCCGCAGGGGGATATAGGGAGTGACATTTTCTGAGCTTGTTTCCCCCTGGAGGGAATGTCAATATCTTCCTGAGCAGGGTTCCTTGGCTTGTCGGTGTGGGAAATCCTCCTACTGCTGTGCACCTCAAATGCTGGAGGGTGGAGGTGGTTGAATAGGGCCAAGGGGGAGAAGACTCTTCAGAGTCCCTTGGACTGCAAGGAGATGAAAGCAGTCAATCCTAAAGGAAACCAGTCCTGAATAATCATTGGAAGGACTGATGCTGAAGCTGAAGCTCCAATACTTTGGCCACCTGATTCAAAGAACTGATTCATTGGAAAAGACCCTGATGCTGGGAAAGCTTGAAGGAAGGAGGAGAAGGGGACGACAGAGGATGAGATAGATAGCATCACCTACTCGCTGGACATGAGTTTGAGTAAACTTCAGGAGTTGGCAATGGACAGGGAGGCCTGGTGTGCTACAGTCCATGGGGTCGCAGGGAGTTGGACATGACTGAGCAACTGAACTGAACTGAAATAGGCTGTAGCCCACCAGTCTTCTGTCCATGGGATTTCCCAGGAAAATCCCATTTCCTCCAGTGGATCTTCCCAACCCAGGGATCAAACCCTTGTCTCTTATGTCTCCTGCATTGCAGGTGGATTCTTTACCAGCTGAGCCACAGAGGTTTCATTCCTGCCTTCCTAACAAGTGCAGCACTTGTAGTCCTGGAGGAAGTAGCTGCTGGAGGAGGAGCCAGATGAAGGCCTTTTCCCTCTGACAGTAGGTGGGGGTGTCTGTACAGAAGGAAGGATACTGGACACTGGAGGCAGCCTCATAGGGTTAACACAGATACTGGGTTCAGCCTGCCCCATCCCTGCCCCCTTCCCCTGGCAACTTCCTTCCTGTGTTTCAGCGAGTTTGTTGCATTCATTCCGCATTCAGGTGGCTGTTCCTCTTCTGCTCACCTGGTAAGTCCTGGTGCTTACCCACCCTCTACTCAGGGGTTCCACTGTCCCCCCTGGCAGCACGACCGCCCTCTCCTCCCTCCCTCTCCCAGTGGATGATCTGGGAGGGCCACTTCCATCTTTTTTTTTTTTCCCGCTAGGGTGGTGTTTCAAAAGCTACAGCCATTGGGTGAAAAGACAACGGGACAGAGGACTGCTAAAAGGAAGGAGTTAATCACATTTATTGATCAATGAGTAGGGTAAAAAGAAAAGTCAATGGACCTAAGCCAAGCTGCCCCAGGTTGCTTCTGGTCTGGGCTCTGTGGAGAAAGGCAGAGGCAGTCTCTCTGGGTTGGTACCAAGAAGGAGCCAGTCCTGGGTCCTGGTGCTCAGGTCCCCTGAGGTGTTGTGTCCCGCTGGGCTACTGGTGGGAGGAATCAACCTGAGCTGCGATCAGTCCTGGGGTCCCGCCCCATTGTTCTCCGTCAGCCTGGGCCTGGGCTCATGTGGGGCAGGGTGCCCTGGACGAGAGGCGGGTGGAGGAGATCCTGGCTTGGTGCTGGGGAGTGCCCAAGTGGTGAGGAGGTATGAGCATGGCCGGGATCAGAGCCCAGGGTAATAGAGTCGGTGGCGGACCCGTGAGGCGCTCCTGAGCTCAAAGGATACAGTGTTCCTGGGCCTTCTCTCCAAAGTAAAAGCGGCTGAAGAGGAAGGGGCTCAGGTTGATGGTCTGGAAGTGGCCCTCTAGCACCATCTCCGCCACAGCCCGCCCCACGGCGGGGGCCTGCTGGAGCCCATGGCCGCTGAAGCCCGTCGCAAAGTACATGTTGACGACAAGCGGGTGGGGGCCCACCACACCATTCTGGTCAAAGGTGTTGTAGTCATAATAACCAGCCCAGGCGCTCCGGACCTGCGGGGGCACAAGACATGGGGCTCCTGGGAGGGCTGCCCATGCACCCCACCTCACTCCCAGTACCCTTACCACCGCTGAGCGGGCCCACGGAATGGTCCTCAGCCCTTGTAAAGTGGAGGCCCCTGTTGTGTGGGGTGGCCGGCAGGCTCTGGGAGCGGGCCCAGACGTTCCAGGGTCATCTGTCCAGTTACCTTTAGAGTCTCAAAAGCTGGTACCCTCTGGGCCAAACGGGGCCACACCTTCTCCTGGAAGAAATCGTAGTCCACTTCCAGGTTCCCTGGGTCTGGCTCCTCCTCCTGGTAGGGAGAGGTGGGGACAGGGCTGACATTGTCCAGGAAACAAGGGCAGACCCAGACGTCACCGACCTCTTTGGTTGGACCCCTTGGTGAGCGGGGGCTGGGGGAAAGACACCCCAGTTCAAAGCCAGAGGAGACTGCGGCGTCAGTACCCACGTGGGACCCTCCAAGGAAGCCTGAGTGTCACCCGCTCTCCGTCTCCTCGCCGGCACCGACCCCACAGAGCTTACCTCTGTGGGGCTACAGCCGCCCAGGTAGTTGTTGCCTAATCCTTCCCGACGGAAATAGGCTCCACTGGGGTCTGCGACGAGCGGTGCCTCCAGGCCTGGTCCCTGGGGGCAGTGCCATAGGTACACATACCTGCCGTGACCGGCAGCGTGAGAAGTGGCGAGAACAGTGACCCCCCGGCCCCGACCCTCCTGTCACCACCCCCGCAGAGCCCTGGGGGTCACCTTTTCCTTGGCTCCACGGGCAGCCTGGTGCCCTGCATGGTGCCTGGCGGCCCATTCCCAACACCAGCCAGCTCTGCGATTTGCCCAGACCAGGCCCCCGCTGCATTGACCACGATGGCACACTCCACAGGCTGGAACTCCTGGCTGCGGTCCATCTTCACCTGCGGGCGCCAGAGAGGGAGGGGAGGGAGCTGTCCATTTCTTCCCCAGCCTCGGTTTACCCACACCGGGAGTGGGTAGAGGAAGATCAGGACAGGCGTGTGTAAAATAGCTAGCGAGTGGGATGGGACTGCATAACACAGGAGCCCAGCCTGGCGTCTTGTGACAATGAGAGGAGTGGGACGGGAGTGGGGAGGGAGGATCAAGAAAGCAGGGATTATGTAGTTATGACTGATTCGCGTTGTGGTATACCAGAAACCAACACAACACGGTAAAGCAATTTTCCTCTATAATTATAAAAATTTAATCAAAATGCATACACACAAGAGCAGTCATGACCTTCCTCACCCTGCACTTTGCTAAAGGAGGCCCCTAGGCTGGGAACTTACATGGACCTCATGGATCCTTTTCAAAGTCACCTGCTCCCCGCTGCCAGTCTCCATGTGGCTGGAAGAAGAGATGAAACCTGCAGGAAAAAGGGAAGAAGATAAGTCCTTGAGGCCTTGAAGAGGAAGGAAATGGAGCTTCCACTGGTTCCCTAAGGACAGAAAGCTGAAGGCTGGGAGCTGTCCCACAGGCACTGAAGCCAACAGGGACAGGGCAGCCGGGACGAACTTGGCCACAGAGGACAGGAGGATGCCAGAACTTCAAGCAGCTCACGAGTCATGGAAAAATCTGCTTAGGAGCTGGAGTCAGGATGTTCAGGGCCAGACCTGGGGAGAAGCCCCCACTCCCCTTGCTCAGCCTGTGTGTGCAGGCGAGACCCGGTGTGGGCTGGCCTCCCCGCTGGCAGAGGACCCAAGCTGTGGGCACCGGGCCACAGACTCACGTGTCACCTCTCCTTGGCAGAAAAGGACCCCCATGGACTGTAGCTTTCGCCGAAGCCCCTGGAGCAGACACCAGGGGTCAAACCAACCCTCGTTCTCCAGCCCTGTGAGGAGAAAGAAGACTCGTGAAGGGGGCCTAGGACCCTCCTCTCCTGTAGTCTTCCCCACACCCCTTGACTCTTCTTCAGGGCTCGTAAGCTGCGGAATGTCATGCTGACCGACTGCACCAGAGCTGGATCCTATGAAAGGACAGAGAGCCGGCCTGGCCCCGGGGAGGTCCTGCCGGCCAGGAGGACGCCTTCCTTGGCTGCGGGGTGCTGAGACTTCTAACCTGAGGCGCCCCTCAACCTCTGACCCCCTCCAAGCAAGGCTCACCGTATGATGCCAAGGCCACTCCCTCTGTGTTGATCCAGGGAAACTTTTTCTGAAGCTGCTCTGGAGACATCAGACAGACTTTGGCTCCTTCCTGCCTGGAGAAATGTGTGGGTCTGTGCACGTGGGCTCGAGGAGGGTGTGTATGGCGGGAGGCAGCGGGGAGAGAAGGGTGGGCCTGGCTCCCTGGTCACCTCACCACGTCGCTGCTCCTTGCTGCCTGGTCAAGCCTCTTCAGCCTCTGCCCTCCCTTTCCAGTCTGACACCCTGGACTCCCTTTGGCCACACCAGGCCCCCTGCCACCCCCTAACTGTTCCCTGTGCTTTCACAACAGGGAAGGTCACTCTGTTCTACTCAGGGGGCCTCCCCGTCCACCGTCCAGTACAGTCCTGCTCACCACACAACTGTCCCCTCTGCGACCCTGATGCCCAAAGGCAGCATCACGGGCGCCCAGAGGACACACTCACACGCCGGACAAGGCAGTCTGGTTCCAATCCTGGCGCCACCACCTACTAGCTCCAGGTACCTCAGGTTCCCCATGTGGGAAATGGGGATGTTCCAACAACTAAATGAGTTAATATCTGTCGTGCATTGAGGACGTGACTTGATGTCACTAGTGAAAGTCAGAACGGTCTGGGGAAGGTGCCCGCTCTTGACTGGCTGGTCATGAGACCCCCATAGCCTTCAACACAAGTCCCCTGTAAAGCCTACGAGCTCTACTCTCTGGCTGTTAGAGAAAACATGTGTGGATTCGTGGGACTTGGTAGGAGGGATGTGTACTGGGGGATTCTCATCGCCTGGGAATTTAGGAACCACCGTGACAGCTACTATCCATGTCTGGACACAGCACTTAGCACCGGACACTGGGGGTTTGCCCGTGTCCATCTTCCTGCCAGACTGAGCTCCCAGGGAGCAGGGCCCGTCTCATCAGCTCTGTCACCCTGGCTTCTAAAGTGAGTCAGAAGGCGGCTGAGATGCAGTGCGGAGGCTGCGCCAGGAGCCCACCTCTGCATTTTCACATTGCTTTCCATGATCGCAGCCCCCTCCTCAGAAGCCAGAAGGAGGTAACCGGAGGGGTTGAACTGGAGATCCAGGGGAGGGTCATCGACCACCGCCAGGTACTCCTGTGTGCAATGAAAAGCTCGTCCAAGAAACTGACTTCAAGAAGGGAGGCAGTGGGACTTCCCTGGTGTCCAAAGGCTAACACTCTGAGCTCCCAATGCAGGGGGCCCAGGTTCAATCTCTGGTCACGGAATTAGATTCCACATGCCACATCTAGAGATCCCACAAGCTGTAACTAGAGATCCTGCATAATGCAACAAAGATCAAAGATTCTGCATGCTGCAAATAAGACCCAGTGCAGCCAAATAAATAAATTAAAAAAAAAAAAAGGACAGGGAGCTTTTCTGGCTTTCCTACCACAACCCTCAGCTCAGTGCCCTGACCCAGAGAAAAGCCCCCTCCAGGCATTGCCACTGGGAAGAAAACTGGCGTTTCCAACTCCTAGCTGCCCTGTCTCCCCCACCAGCAGGACTGACCCCCTCTCTGGGCTAAAGGGGGGGTCGCCACCCCCACCCCCCAATCTCACATTGATGTTCCGTAGAAATTCGGCCGAAAAGAGGGAAAGCTGGACATTCTCAGGCAATGAGAATTGCTGGCGAATCCCGCCCACGGAGAGCACAGTGGAGGCCCGGGCATACTGCGGAGACGAGAGAAGGTGAGGCGGGCCTTGTCCCACACGAGCAGAATACTCTCGTGCAGGGTGAGAGTCACATGCCCAAAGCTGAAGGGGAGTCCTACCGTCAGATTATTTTATAATCTAAGAGGAGCTGAAGTGAACAAACCCAAATGAAGGCAGTGAGGACAATGGTCATTAAAATCCTTATTAGGATAGGTACAGAGCAAAGGGCCGGTATCAAAGGGCAGGACACCCTCATACAAAATGTTACAAAATGGTAATGGCTCTTAAGTCCAAGGCTGGAGATTGACATTTGGTTCTACTAACTGGAAAACAGAGGGACATGGCCGATGGAGCAAGACCTGTGACTAGCCAGCAGTGGTAAACAGGAACAATTAAAGCACAAAAACCTCAGAAACAATGACGCCTGCAAGGGGGTTGTAATAACTGTTTGAGCTGATTACAGCTAGAATGTAGGCCAGACCTCTGCAATCTCAAAACACACAACATTGTGAAATTTGCTTTCAAAAGCAAAAACCTTATTGTCAAGGTCACTAGTTTGAGGAAGAACCTGGGGCTGTTTCACAACAAGGGCCAAAGTCCTGTCCCTTCAGAGATTTCGGCCTTTCTTCTCCTCCCCTGCCCTTGACTCTGAGTCGCCCGACCTGCCCCACCCCAGACCTCACCGTGTGGTCCCGCTCCACCACCAGCACCCGAATGGCACCTCGCTGCTTCTCCAGCCTCTTCAGCCAGTAGGCCACCGACAGGCCAAGCACCCCACCCCCTACAATCACCACATCTGAGCGTTCGGGGGGCAGGTGGCTGGTGTCATACAGAGGGCTCCAAGCCCCGCCAGGGAAGATGGACTGGATCTTCTTCTTGATCTCCGACACCTTTCCATCCCAGTCTGTGGGACACAGTTATGGTCAGAGAGGGCCATGCATCTCCTTTCCAAGACGCGGGGTGGGGGGTGTGTGTGCCGAGGTTGGAAGATGGGCATAGGAGAAGGTGGGCTAAACTGACACTGAGTTTTTAGTCCTCACAAGGTCAGCTGGCACCCAGCAGCATTCCACAGCTTTGCCTCATGGTCTCTGCGCCCGAGTCTCACTCCCTTTGAGTGCATCATACCTAGCACTGCAAGATTCAGCTTCCTGACATGAACACTCTCTACTCTCCCTAGGCGAGGTGTCTTACACATTTCTCTCCTGGGCTTCTGAACCAATAGGTCCCAGCACATCTAAAGCCACAGGGCCCTCAGAAGCATAGACCTCTGAGTGGCACCTTCTCCTGGGTATTCATCACCACCAGCAAATCCACACTCACATCCTGTCTGTTATCAAGTTCTTATGACTTTGCCTCTTAAATATCTCTCCGATCTGTCCCCTTTTTTTCCCCATCTCTACCACCACTGCCCTGGACCAAACCACAATGATGTCTTTCCCACGAAGGCTGTTAAGAGCTCCCATTTCCACTCATCCCCATCTTGTCCTACCCCCCCAACTTCTTTCCTCTATCACAGCTTTGTTGTTGTTGTTCAATAGCTAAGTCATGTCCGACTCTGCGACCCCATGGACTGAAGCATGCCAGGCCTCCCTGTCCATCACAAACTCCCAGAGCATGCTCAAACTCATGTCCACTGAGTCGATGATGCTATCCAACCATCTAATCCTGTCGCCCCCTTCTGCTCCTGCCTTCAATCTTTCCCAGCATCAGGGTCTTTTCCAATGAATCTATCACAGCTAGAATCTCTTCTGAACATTAATCTAATCAAACACTCTTTTGCTTAGAACCTTCCATGGCTTTCCATCACTCTAAGGATAAAGGTTCGAAATCCTTCATGTGGCCTGTGAGACACTGCCCGATCTAGCTCTTGTTCACCTTGTCTTTCCAGAACCCTCCAACCTCACCCCTTCATTTCTGCCACAGAGGACCCACACAGGTGTTCTCTCTGCTTTGAAACTGTGCCCACTTCTTTGCCCAGTTAATTCCTTGGTTCCTTTAGATCTCAGCTCAGTTATCATTTTCTCAGGGATGCCTTTCCTGACCTCCCCTAGCCTATGCCAAGTTCTCCTGTTACTATCTCATAGCTATCTCATAGCTCAGTGAACTGTTCTTTTGCAACATGCAGCACACTTGAAACTTTGAACTCATCTGTGATTGCTTCATACTGTGCTATGTCTACCTTCTCCACCAAATCTCCAGCCTAGCACAGTGCCTGGCACATCCTAAGTGCCCAATAAATGCCTTGAATACATGAATCTTTTTGTCTTGCATACCAAGCTCATAAATCTCCAAGTCTTCTGTCACTGTCTCCAGTTCAAAGTTCAAACTCTTCTCAGCATTCAACTCTTTCTTTGATCTGGACTTAACCTTACCCATCATTTCATACTACTACTCAACTTTCTATCCGGATGGCCTTTGCTAATTACTTGCACGAAAACAATACTTTTTCCTACCCTTTGCTCAGTTCTCCAGAACCTGGAACTCACACTTTCCTTGAGCCAGTAAACATCATCTTTCAAGGCTGATCTCAGCTCCCACCTGTTCCATGTATGGCCACCAACACTACGTCCTGGTAGTGCAGGACATCGTCCCAGTTGGCTTCTCTTCAGTTTTCAACTGGTCTACGAAGCCTTCCCTCTCCAGCTACACCTCAGACACCTCCAGGACATGTATCAAATCCTCTCTTTCTCTTCTTTCCTCCTCACGGCCTCAAAACAGCATCCTGCATGCGAGCAGGACTTCATTAATTTCTGTGCAACCAATGAAATCAGCCTGGCTGCTATTCTGGTGGCAAACTCAGGCATAGAATGATCTGGGATATGTCACCTGAGAAGGGCAACTCTGGGATTCATACCCCTGTCCAGGCTCTACAAGCTCCAGCAGACAAGGCTCCTCCCTACTCCGAGCGACCCGCTGTCTTCCCAGCATGGGCAGGGATTCTGAGTCCTGAAGGTCACAAGGCTGGAGACTGGGGACACCCCAGAACCATGATACCCTCCGCTGCCCTCAGCTTTACCCAGAGTAGAGCCTCCTCTGTATGTGCCTAGCCCCCGTCCGGAGAGGTAAGGGCCCGGGCGGAGCCGCAGCGCCCTCTGAAGCATGGCCCTGCTGCTCCTGGCCGCTAGGAGAGCGGCACCCTACCCGGGTATAGTCTCAGCCAGCAGTCACTGCTACGCGCCGCCAGTCGTTCATTCGAGCACTCCCATTGGCCAGCGACGCCTCCGAGCCCCGCCCAGGCCCGGCCCCACTCTCCATTGGCCAGCCTGGCGTCTACGTCAGTCCTGCGCGTCCGTGGGCGGAGCCGGGGAGGGATCCGGGCGGCGTTGAGCGGAAGTGCGGCTGCGCCGGTTTCCGGGGCCGCTGGTGTGACGTGTCCCGCGCCTGGCGCAGCAGGAAGCGGCGGCGATCGAGGCCTGAGTTCCCGGCGCCGGCCCCGGCTCCTTACCCGCTGCCGCCATGCTCGACTTCTTCACCATTTTTTCCAAAGGCGGGCTCGTTCTCTGGTGCTTTCAGGGAGTGAGCGACTCATGCACCGGGCCCGTTAACGCGTTAATTCGTTCCGTGCTGCTGCAGGTACCGCCCCCGCGGGATCAGAACTCCGGGCTCATCCCCCTCACCCTGACCCGACCCCTAATCCCCCTCGACTGATCCCGGGCCTCCCTCTCACCCTGTCGGCCCACCTCAAACTGGTCGCTCGCTCGTAGCCGGGACTCCACTTCTTTCTCCCGCCCCCATCAGACAGTCCCGCAACTTTGCTCTGTCCCCTCCCCCTCTCCCGCTTTCTGGGACTCTGGCCGGATTCCGTAGTCTATTAAGACCTCCCTTCGTTCTCCCCTTTCGCTGCCAGCGGCTTGGTTTTCTGTTGTCGCAAAGGCTGGATGAGATAAAGGATGAAAGAACGTCTTTTAAGAAGTGTAGGTAGTGTCCGGCTGCCGGTAAACCTGATTGTTTACATGAGGACTCCCTTCTCGCTTGCCCATGTCGGTCCCTCCCACCTTTCCCCTCCTTCACCCCAGCTGGGTGTCTACACTTTTCTCCCAGGTGCATGCTGCAGAGCAGTGCCACTGAATCTTTTGGCCCTGGGGGACAGGTTTGAGTTCAGGGGAATGTCTGGTTCCTTCCCAAAGGCAGCCCTGGAGGGGCCCAACTCCAGGTGTTTGAGGGGACAGTCTGAACTCTGAGATATACTCTTTTTCCAGGAGAGAGGAGGTAACAACTCCTTCACCCATGAGGCACTCACTCTCAAGTATAAACTGGACAACCAGTTTGAGTTGGTGTTTGTGGTAAGTGAAGGTATTTTAGAGGGGTAACGATTACATTGACAGGCAGTCCTGATGATTCAGAAGATCCTGATTAATTACACCCAGTGTCTACGATGAAGTAACTGAGAAAACAAGGAGGGTGGAAGGGGAAAGGGAAGCCGCTCTTGGGCCCAGTCAGAGGGCTTGGCTGCTCCTCAGGTCAGGGAAGCCGGCCAGGGTGCTGAGCCCAGTCCCTGGAGGCCTGGGTCCAGTTGGCTTCCCTCTGTTCTGGGCTGGCGCGTAAGCAGATCTGCTGGCTCTCTTCCTTCCCCTGAACAGGTAGGTTTTCAGAAGATCCTAACACTGACGTATGTGGACAAGTTGATAGACGATGTTCACCGGCTTTTCCGAGACAAGTACCGCACTGAGATCCAACAGCAGAGTGCCTTGAGTCTATTGAATGGCACTTTCGATTTCCAGAATGACTTTCTGCGGCTCCTTCGGTGAGAGGCCTCCCCGCTCCAAAATCAATTTCTGAGACTTAATGAATTCCCTTCCTTCCCAAGGGTGGGTAGTTTGCTGTGGGTTGACAGGGGCTCCTGAGTTGGCTTCCCAGTTCTGATTGCCTTCTTGGTGTGAGGGCCCTCCCCTTGGATTTAGACTGTCCACTTTTTCTCTCTGGGCTTCCCTGGTGGCTCAGATGGTAAAGAATACCTGCAGTGTGGGAGACCCAGGTTTGATCCCTGGCTTGGGAAGATCCCCTGGAGAAAAAAATGGCAACCCACTCTAGAATTCTTGACTGGAGAATCCCATGGACAGAGGAGCCTAGCCCACCAGGCTCCTCTGTCCATAGGATCACAGAATCAGACACAACTGAAGCGACTTAGCACGAACTTTTCTCTTTAGTGAAGCAGAGGAGAGCAGTAAGATCCGTGCTCCCACTACCATGAAGAAATTTGAAGATTCTGAAAAGGCCAAGAAACCTGTGAGATCCATGATTGAGACACGGGGTGAAAAACCTAAGGAAAAAGCCAAGAATAACAAGAAAAACAAGGGGGCCAAGAAGGAAGGTGAGCTTGAACTTGGACATCCAGGGGCATGAGACGTTGTTAAGGTGGCGCTGAACATCCAGGGGCATGAGACGTTGTTAAGGTGGCGCTGAAGTGGTTCCCTGTCCTTCCCTTTGTCATCGTTTGCCTCCCTGGCTCAGGTGCCCACCACCCTCGTCATCGTCCCCAGTCTTGGTGATCCCCCAGGTGTTTCTTCATGGTTTTCTCTGAATGATCTCGGAGGCTTTTCCCCATTTGTCTATTTTGTTGGAATTTGGTCTTTTTTTTTTTTTTTTTTCAGTGAGTTTTCTCCTTGACAGGTTCTGATGGCCCTCTGGCTACTAGCAAGGCAGCCCCCGCAGAAAAGTCAGGTCTCCCAGTAGGACCTGAGAACGGGGAGGAACTTTCCAAAGAGGAGCAGATCCGCAGGAAGCGGGAAGAGTTCATTCAGAAGCACGGGAGGGGTATGGAGAAGTCCGGGTGAGCAGCCCAGCTTTGCCCTAAGGTTTTGCTATCCAGACACACGGGGGGCGAGGGAGTCCTTGTCTCTGAGGTGGATGCTGCCTGTCCTGCTTCTCCACTGTAACCCTCTCTACTGTAACCCTTCACAGCAAGTCCAGCAAGTCAGATGCTCCCAAGGAGAAGGGCAAAAAGGCACCCCGGGTATGGGCACTGGGAGGCTCTGCTAACAAGGAAGTTTTGGACTACAGCACTCCCACCACCAACGGAGCCCCCGAAGTGGCCCCGCCCGAGGATATCAACTTGGTAAGAGGTAGCAGGGGTCAGGGTGAGGGTCACTGGTAATAAGAAGCAGGGGAGGAAGGAGAGATGAGGAGGGCAGTCCCCTTAATTGCTTGGAGCCAGAGGGTGGGTTACATTTGGAGCTTCTGGAGTCAAAGGGGCAGAGCAGTGTAAGATAGGGTCACTCCAGGCTTCCCTCTCTGCCAGCTTATAGTTTGCTGACTCGTTCTTCTCCCCATACCTTCCAGATTCGAGGGACTGGGTCCGGGAGGCAGCTTCAGGATCTGGACTGCAGCAGCTCAGATGATGAAGGAGCTGCTCAGAACTCCACCAAACCTAGGTATGGGATTCCAGGTGGTGGGTGGTGGTTCTGGCTCCAGAAGGGGTAGTACTTGCTGACTGCCTGCTGGCTTTCTGGGCATCTGTGGTTTTCTGTGCCTGCAGTGCTACCAAGGGGACTCTGGGTGGCATGTTTGGGATGCTGAAGGGCCTTGTGGGTTCCAAGAGCTTGACTCGTGAAGACATGGAATCTGTGCTGGACAAGATGCGTGACCATCTCATTGGTGAGTCAGGACAGGGTAGACTCGTGTTTCTGGGGTAAGGATGGTGGGGTAGAAGGGCTGTACCATGGGGGCCGTCCAGTCCTGCTGGGGCACTCACCCCACGCTTGTCCCCCTCCTTAGCTAAGAACGTGGCAGCAGACATTGCAGTCCAGCTCTGTGACTCCGTGGCCAACAAGTTGGAAGGGAAGGTGATGGGGACGTTCAGCAGTAAGTATCTCCCCAGATCCCGAAGTGCTTGGGTGGAGGTTGTGAAGACACCACCATTCTTACTGCGTGCGTGACTTTTGACAAACTATAATCTCTAAATCTCCGTCATTTCACTTAGACTTCAGGTGTTCGTGACACCTAACTTGAGAGGATTTGAATAAATTACGTCAGGTGCTTAGGGCTGTCAGATACGGTGTGGATTCCTGGGCAGGATCCTAGTTCCCTTTAACTCAGCCAGATGCCAGGTGTTCAGAGCACCTGACTTGGGCTTCATGGGTATACCTCCCTGCCCCACCCCCAGCCGTGACTTCCACGGTAAAGCAAGCTCTGCAGGAGTCCTTGGTGCAGATTCTACAGCCGCAGCGCCGTGTAGACATGCTCCGGGACATCATGGATGCCCAGCGTCATCAGCGCCCGTACGTGGTCACTTTCTGTGGTGTGAACGGCGTGGGGAAGTCTACCAACCTTGCCAAGGTCGGTGCGGTTCCCCAGCCTGTCTCTGACGTTGTTTCTTCCACTCTTCTCTGCCGCTCTGGGGCTGGCTGACAGTTTTGTCTCTTGCAGATCTCCTTCTGGCTGTTAGAGAACGGCTTCAGTGTCCTCATCGCTGCCTGTGACACGTTTCGTGCCGGGGCCGTAGAACAGCTGCGGACGCACACCCGGCGTTTGAGTGCCCTGCACCCCCCCGAGAACCATGGCGGCCGCACCATGGTGCAGCTGTTTGAGAAGGGCTACGGCAAGGATGCTGCTGGCATCGCCATGGAGGCCATCGCCTTTGGTACAGTGCACAGGAAGCGGGGAGCTTCTGGGGCCTCTCTGCTCCGGGGTTCTCTTGGAACTTGCAGAGGACCAGGGTTACCCTACCACCAACTTTCTGCTCAGTAACAGCTCAGAATTAGTGACGTGCCATGCCATGCTCCACTTTGGGGTAACACGTGTAGTTGCAGGCAAACCTCGTACATTTGTTTCATTACCTCAATATTTGGTCACCTTTATCCTCCTGCTAGGGCTTCCCAGGTGTGGCTCAGTGGTAAAGAATCTGCCTGCCAGTGCAGGAGACATAAGAGATGCAGGTCCCAGCCCTGGGTCGGGAAGATCGCTGCAGGAGGAAATGCAACCCACTCCAGTATCCTTGCCTGGGAAATTCCATGGACAGAGGAGCCTGGCGGGCTATAGTCTACAGGGTTGCAGAGAGTCAGACACGGCTGAGTGCACACATACGCACACCCGCCTGCCTGCCTTTCCCTAAATATGCTTGATGACAGAGTGTGGAAATTGTTCCTATGTTACCTTGTAACCTGATTCAGAACCTAAGGAAATAAACAGGCAAACTTTTAATAGGGCCAGTTTAGGACCTGTTGAGAGGAAGCTGGAAATAAGTGTAACAATCCAGGAGTTTTGAGTTGATCACTTTTTTCTTTCTAGCACGTAACCAAGGCTTTGATGTGGTGCTGGTGGACACAGCTGGCCGCATGCAAGACAACGCTCCCCTGATGACTGCCCTGGCCAAGCTCATCACTGTCAACACACCCGACCTGGTGCTGTTTGTGGGGGAGGCCTTAGTAGGCAACGAGGCCGTGGACCAGCTGGTGAGGGCTCGGGCCTGGTTCTCTTCCCAGCCTCAGCTCTGGCCAGTTAGGTGTGTTGTATTTATATCCTGTTTCTCCTTCCAGGTCAAGTTCAACAGAGCCTTGGCTGACCATTCTATGGCCCAGACACCTCGGCTCATTGATGGCATTGTCCTTACCAAGTTTGATACCATTGATGACAAGGTAAGCATGGACGACACAGGGCAGAGGGGACCAGGAGGGGGAATGGCCGTCCTTCACAGGCGAGCAGAGGCTCTAAGGGCACACAGGTTCCAGAGCCGCCTGTTGCTGAGGGCGTGAGAAGGCAGGGTCCAGAGATGACTGGGTATCCTGTCTCTGCTTCAGGTGGGAGCTGCGATTTCTATGACCTACATCACAAGCAAACCCATCGTCTTCGTGGGCACTGGCCAGACCTACTGTGACCTACGCAGTCTAAACGCCAAGGCTGTGGTAGCTGCCCTCATGAAGGCTTAATGTGGCTCTCGCCTGATACCAAATCACCGCTTCCCCCAAAGTCCCCATCCCTGTATCAAGAATGTGCTTTAGAGTATGTGAGCAACTTGTCTTCAGTGTAATTCAAAGGCAGAGTGAGGGGCGCTCCGGGGCCTGCAGCCCCTCCTAACCCCACTCTGTTCAGCCCAGCCTCCAGCTGCAAGGAGGGCCTAATCATGTTACAGTCACTGCCCACTACCCATCCCTGCCCCGCCCCACCCCGTGCTCTTCCCCCGTCCTGATCCGGCATCCTTGCTCTGCCTACAGACTCGGTCTCCTTACAGCTTTGACCAGTGGTTCGTAGACCCAACACCAGAGCTCTGCTACTTGGTGTGGTCACGGGACGTCTGAGCGTCGTCCCCCGCTCCATTAGAGAAGAGGCTTGAGAGCCTGCTCTGGGTCTCGAATGGCCCCTCTCCGTAGGATACACAGCATTCAGGTCTGCAGGGCCAGGATAACACCCCCACACTGTGGCAGTGTATGGCCTCTTCTTAATTGCTGCTAATTCAATGATCCCTTCCCCTTTTCCCCAAAGCCTCAGTGAGGCCAGGGTGATGTGTTACAGATGAGTGAGAGGGGTCCCCGCCTCCCCCAGAAGGCAAGGGAGCCGCGCTGCAGTGTTGCATTCGGCTTCTCAGCCTCCAGGACCTCCTCCCACTTCCAGAATCCACACGTAACTCTGCATGTTCCCCTTCCTGGGAGAAAACCAACTGTCCGAAGGGGGACATGTTGCCCCCTCCCCCTCCTGCTCCCGAGCGGATCCTGGCTCCTCATCCTCTACAGTGCCTGGTAGACAAGTGCTACGTTGAAGAATACAGACCTTGTTGAGATTTGTCCTGTAGCTTGGTATTACAGATGTGCTATTAGTGCAATAAGGTGAAGGCTGTCTGCCCAGAGAAATACATAATTTATATGAAAAAATAAATTTCATAAGTAAATTGCCTTTTAGGTCTTGGAGTCATTTTACAGAGGATTCAAAGCTAAAATCCTACAGCACAATAACTAGAGTTCTAGGGAACATGGCAGGAAGGGAAACGGGAATTGATAATGTTGAGGAATCAGGTGAAAATCAGTGCTTGTCCCAAGGATGAGATCACCTTCCCCACAGGGTACAAGAATAGAACTTTTAAAATTTAAATTCGGCCTGTACCTTTGCAGGTCAGGAGTTTTCTATAAAGTGACTCAAAGTAGAGCTGGGGCCCTGGGAAGTAAATGAAGAAGCTTTTAATATTACAGCTCAATTATGTAAAATACTGTACACTGTAAAAGGTCTAGAAAACTAGAGCTTCAAGTCACGTTTTAAAAAAGCCATTAAGCTTAATTGAAAAACCAAGTATAGAGTACAAAACTGCCACGAGGGCCACGGAGAACCCGCGGCATCGAAAGCCCGAGTCCCCTGCGCAGCCGTGGTCGGCGGAAGTGTCCAGCCTGGGGTGGGGCGGGGGCTCCATTTGGGCCACTTGGATGTTGAACTGGAACGGGCTGCAGAGGAACCAGCCGGCACGAAGGATTAAGTTGGACATCTCCGCTGACCCCCAGCCTTCAGCCTCTGGGTACTTGCTAGGAGCTGCTTCGGGTTCCTGTAAGTTCACTTGTTAAAACACTCCATGGTAGGCCCTTACAGCTTGATCTAATGGTGCCGGTTCCTCTAGCCCTCTCAGGTACTATGGTCTGCAGAGAGAAAAAAGATGGTAAGTGAAGTTTCACGTATCAGGTTTGTCCATCTAAAGGTGCAGAAACTGAACTCAAGCTTAATCCTTCTGAAGACAAGACACCAAATACTAGGAAGCCTGTGAATGGACTTGGTAGGAAAATCCAAACTCTATAGGTAGGAGAGCTAAGTCATTCTTCTCCAAGGTCTTAACTGAGTTCTGGGAAAATGTTTTCTGCTGACAAACGGTAGAACAGGAAACCGCTTACCTCTTATTTCACTGTGTGCTGTAGACGAGCCATTCAGCTGGCCTTCTCTCACAATCCCTGCTAAACAACACACATCAGTATCAGATAATATGACCGAACAGCTAAAACTCAGTAGCAGGAAAGCAGCCAACTAAAGGGAGGTGGAAGCACATGGTCTGACTAAGGATGAAATTATTTACTAATGCACAGTTAGGCAGGGGCATAAACCAGGTTAATCTTCACACTGTTGCACTAGATGATAAGAGAAGCACTGAGGTCCCCGAGTGTACTAACACTCCTTAAGAAAAAACAAGTGTGTCCCTAACTAGTCCAGAAGGCCAAGTTTAGGCAAATAAAACTACTCCAGCTGGGGACAGGGAGCAGCATGCAAGGGGGCAAATTCAACCAAGCAGAAGAGTGACTAGTAGCTGAGCTAACAACACCCCCATGGTACAGAATTGGGCATAGAGCCTTGCTGGCTTGATACAGTGCCATTGGCCACATGTGCTGTTTAGTTTTAAACTAAAAATTGTATTTCTCAGGGACTTCCCTGGCAGTCCAGTGGTTAGGACTCCACACTGCGGGGGGTGTGGGTGGGGGGTGGGGATGGGTTCAATCTCTGGGGGACTGAGATTCCACAAGCGGCATGCTGTGGCCAAAAAAAAAAGTGTTCCTCAGTCACACTTACTACAATTCAAAACTTAATGGCCACGTGTGGCTCGTGGTTATAGTACTGGACAGAGATGACAGAATACTTCAGTCAGTGCAGAAAATCCTGTTGGACAGCACTGGAATAAATAATGTGTAGGAAGACGTTTAAAACTGACTACACACGAGGAAAGAATAGCAGACAGAAACATAGACAGCTGGAGTAAAAATAAGAAAGACAGCGCTGGAACACACACATTGGGATTCCCCTCTTGGAAAACACTAGAGCAATATTTATCAGCCACTAAACTGTTACCTTTGACCTAGCAATTATACTGAGAATCCAGCCTATGGAAATTACTGGCTAAAGTAAAAACTGCAGGGATGAAGATATGTTCACTGCAACAGTGCTTACAGTAGGAAAAAAACTAGATACTGCCTCATACAGGGGAATAATTAGGTAACTGTGACACAGTGGATTATAACACAATCTTTTACTGGCTATGAAGAGTGCAGCCATGTGCGGAAATGTATGATATGTATCACTGAATTTACAAAGAACCAGGACTGTATATAGATTTTGTTTACAACCATGAGGAAATGCACAAGGAAAACTTAACTGAAATATACCAAAGTAACTGCTTTTGTGATAGTAGTGAATTATAAAGTAATTACCTTCTTTCCCCCATTACTTGATTTTCCTGAAATAAATGTACTTGCAGCCTACAGAATCTTTCAACCTAAGTAATTCTCACTGTGCAAAAGTCTGGACACAGCACAATGCCCGGTACAGAGCAAGAGCTCAGGGTTATAAAACAACAACAGTGAAAAGACCTCTGACCTCTCATTGGTATTTATAGACTCAAAACATAATTGTGGATGGAAGGTAAATTTGACTTGAAGTGCTTTTAACCTAAAACTGCTCTGCTAGATTTCAGATCACAAACTTCAGCTGACCATTCTAATTAAAGCCTCTGACCACACGAAAAATCCTCGATGTTTAACAATTCACAATGCCCTAAAGAGTGGTGACTTCATGGGGAGTCGCTCTGCCAGGAAGCCCATGCAGCTAAGGACAGTCTGCAGCTTCGAAATACTTCTGATGCCTTTTGTCAGTAAAAGACTTAGTGCAGGAAGAGCTGTCCGGCGGGATCTTGTTCTCTTCCCCGTCAGCCTCTTCCTTGTCAGCGTCCTCCCCGTCAGCCCTCCCCGTCAGAGTCCTCCCCGCTAGCGTCCTCCCCGCTAGCGTCTTCCCGTCAGCCTCTTCCCCGTCAGCGTCTTCCCCGGCTAGATCTCAAGAACGCAGAGCCAAAGAACGGAGTGTGTACCCCTCGCCCGGTGGGAAAGCCTACTGAGGCCCGCCCATGGGCAAACAGTAGAAGAGAATCTGGAATACTGCAGGACAGCAGAAAACATGCCCAAGAAAGATTAGCAAACTGCTTTCACAAAGAAGACAAATCGGAAAATTTCCTTTTTTAAGGGTTTTTAAAGTCTTCTGGAAAAAGGGTAGACTTAGTTTTCAAAATGTTTAGTTATGGTGATGCCTTCTAGAAATCTTGTTCCATCAAAACAGAGTCATGGATAATCACAGTTTGTGGAATTTCTCATCACAGGAGAATCCCACTGCATAGGACAAGTTCTCTCTATATTAAACTACCCGTCCTTTAAGAGACCCCTAAGATGCATTCAGATTGACCATGAAAATGCATATTAGCAAATAACTTTTCAAGAACATATTCTACATAACAGCAGCAAAGTTTCTTGGAACTGTGTGCTGAGTCAGAATGGGCACACCTTGGGGCCCGGCTTTATTCAAACTAAGCTTTTAAAAAGCATTTTCCGATTTAGCTATACCAAAAAGCTTTGCATTTGGTAGGCTGATAGAAGCTAGGCTGGAGCCATTAGTAAATGGAAACTTTTAACCGCATTTGGCTTTCTCATTAGAATTGAGAGGTAAAAATGTCAAGTGAATGGTACCCCTAACATGACTTTAATGCCACCACAACAGTTTCCACATAATATTTTTGAGTGGTTTTTTTTCCTGTTTATAAAGACAAAGCATAATCACAAAAAATAGGATTTTCATATTTCATAACATAGGAAAATATGTAAAAAAAACACACATTAACTCCTACTGCATAGAGATAATCACAGATAATTTTCTAAGCATCATGCCAGACATTTCTCTCTGTTATTATTTAGTCGCTCAGTCATGTCGAACTCTTTGTAACCTCATGGACTGTAGCCCGCCAGGTGCCTCTGTCCACAAGATCTCCCAGGCAAGGATACTGGAGTGGGTTGCCATTTCCTCCTCCAAGGGATGTTTCCGACTCAAGGGTCGAACCAGCATCCCCTGCATTGGCAGGTAGATTCTTTATGGCACCAGAGAAGCCATAAAGCACACCAAACAAAAACAGAAAACATCTACAATCTTGTATGCCAGGGACTGGGATGCAAAAATGCATTTTACAACCTGCATTTTACTTTTTCCACTCAGAATATTGTATCTCTGACATTATTTTGGGTAGTAAAAGCATTTTATATTTTATGGATTCATACGTATTTAATATTTCACTAACTAATAAATGGTGTATTTATAGAATCACCTATTTTCTGGAACATTTTAGATTGCTTCCAATTTTCACCATTTATCTACAACCCTGATTACATCCCCACACCTATATCTTTGTGCAACTGTGTCATATAATTGTATAAGTGTCCAGTGATCTCTTTTAGGAGAAAAAATTTCTAAGATAGATTTTATCAAAAGGGATTTCTGGGTCAAAGGTTTTAAAATTTTCAACATATTCCAAATTTACCCTTCAGAAAAGTTGTACTAACTTTACCTTCCCACCAAAATTGCACAAAAATATTTTTTTCCTCACAGCCTTAGCCAAAAGGGAATCACCATTCTTCCCTATTTTTGAAATCTAAATTCTTTCTTTTTTAAAATTTATTTGGGGGGGGGAGAAATATCAGTAACTTCAGATATGCAGATGACACCACCCTTATGGCAGGAAGTGAAGAACTAAAGAGCCTCTTGATGAAAGTGAAAGAGGAGAGTGAAAAAGTTGGCTTAAAGCTCAACATTCAGAAAACCAAGATCATGGCATCCAGTCCCATCACTTCATGGCAAATAGATGGGGAAACAGTGGCTGACTTTATTTTTCTGGGCTCCAAAATCACTGCAGATGGTGACTGCAGCCATGAAATTAAAAGATGCTTACTCTTTGGAAGGAAAGTTATGACCAACCTAGACAGCATATTAAAAAGCAGGGACATTACTTTGTCAACAAAGGTCTGTCTAGTCAAGGCTATGGTTTTTCCAGTAGTCAAGTATGGATGTGAGAGTTGGACTATAAAGAAAGCTAAGCACAGAAGAATTGATGCCTTTGAACTGTGGTGTTGGAGAAGACTCTTGAGAGTCCCATGGACTGCAAGGAGATCCAACCAGTCCATCCTAAAGGATATCAGTCCAGGGTGTTCATTGCTAGGACTGATGTTGAAGCTGAAACTCCAATATTTTGGCCACCTGATGTGAAGAGCTGACTCATTTGAAAAGACCCTGATGCTGGAAAAGATTAAAGACAGGAGGAGAAGGGGACAACAGAGGATGAGATGGTTAGATGGCATCACTGACTCAATGGACATGAGTTTGGGTAAACTCCGGGAGTTGGTGATGGACAAGGAGGCCTGGCGTGCTGCGGTTCATGGGGTCACAAAGAGTCAGACACGACTGAGAGACTGAACTGAACTGCCCTGGGTCTTTGTTGCAGTGCACGGGCTCCAGGCTTAGTTGCCCCTCAGCATGTGGGATCTTGGTTCTCTAACCAGACATCAAACCCACATCCCCTGCACTGGAAGGTGCATTCTTAACCACTGGACTACCAGGGAAGTCCCTGAAATCTAAATTTCAATTGCATTTCACTGATTAGTCTAACCTGAAAACTAACCATGATCTCCCTTCATAATCTGGTTAGGATTATATTCTGCATCTTGGTGATGACCTGACCCACCACAAACACGTAAGAGGCTGAAGAACAGCTGCCCTCCAACCCCTCTTAGTCTCCAAATGCAACTTACCTGACCTTCCCCTCGTGGAGATCTCACATGTCAGTCGTTTGAAATATTCTGGAAGGTCAGCATAGTCATTTCCATAGGAGATGACCTTAATCCCTTTGTCCAGCATGTTTTCTCGAAGCTTCTTGAATTCATCCACATCTCCTCTCCGAACTAGCATGAAATGTTCTAAGTCAGATTTATGCTTGACGGCCTCCAGGAAAAGGGCTTGGAAAGTGGTGTCATCCACAGTCCAGCCACAGCCCAGAAAGAGGAACGACTTGTTTTCATAGAGTTTTTGAATCTCTCTCTGGTGGGAACAGAAACAACATGTGAATCACACTGTGAAGACAGGTCTGAAACAGAAGAATCAACAGGGTCATAACTACTGCATCTAGCAGACTGTGATGACCGATGAACCAGGATTAAGAGTCAGAGGAGAGATACTCGCATGAAGGAGTATGATCTTCTCACTGTTTACTGCTGTTAACTTGATGACTATTCTAAAATTGCATCTCTACCTGGCATTCTCCTGCAGGGTCTCTATTCAGGGTCTCACTGGTCTATATCTCACAGTTTATTTTTTAGATCTGTGTGCCCAGAGGCCATTAAGGCAATCAGTAGTCTTCAATGTATCTTACTCTTTCCATTTTCTTGACCATATCTACTTTTTCGGCTTTACAGACTGAGCCATGAATAACCAGAGAATTCCATCACCAGAGCTGCTCAAAGAAAATCTGACCCTTAGAACACTAATGTACATCTGTGTATATATTTTTTCATGTACATGTGTGTATATACTTTTAACACATTTTTTAAAGACTGTTTTGATATGGACCATTTTTAAAGTCTTGTATTGAATTTGTTACAACATTGTTTCTGTTTTATGTTTTGTGTTTTTGGCCACAAGGCATGTGGGATCTTAGATTCTCGACCAGGGATGGAACCTGAACCCCTGCATTGGAAAGCAAAGTCTTTAACCACTGAACTGCCAGGGACGTCCCTGTGTGTACACATTTATACACACATGTATGTACACATAAATCACACACACTACATATGTATAAAGTATTAGAAATGATTTTGCTTAAGGGATCACTCAGTGTCAGTTATAGATAAAGCTGTAACAGATGTCAGAGAAAGAACAGGTGACAAAAAGTCCCCTTGTGCTTTAGAAAACATCACATTTTCTTGGTCTTCTTCCACAAAGCCTCCATTTTATTACCCTATTCAAATTAAAAAAAAATTTTTCCAGTGCTCGGTAACTGAATAAGTATGGTGATTCAATACAAACCCACCACCATTTATATAAAAACTCTTTAGAATGTATGCTCCAGTAGTAGTTGGCCAGTGAAAAACTGCACATATTAGCCCTGGCGTAGCCCTGGTTACTAACACCATGTATGTGTGTGTGAGTGCTCAGCGGCTCAATCATGCCCGACCCCTTGTGAACCCAGGCTCCTCTCTCCACGGGATTTCCCAGGCAAGAATACTGGAGTGGGTTGCCATTTCCTTCTCCAGGGGATTTTCCCGACCCAGGGATCGAACCCGTGTGTCCTGTGTTCCTTGCACTGGCAGATTCTTTACCACTGTGTCACTGGGAAGATATTACCATATACACCAAAAGATGAACACAAATGTACATTCTTTGTATGTGAAGCTGACACCAGTGAACAGTGCCATCTGCAGGCTGTCAATCAAGAACAAAGTAAAACCACAGGCCCTGACACCTGAAGAGATGTCTGACATTTCCCAAGATGGCATACACAACCACAAGCTAAGAAGCACAGGAAAGAATGCTTGGCCTTCCAATTTTAACTGATGAAAAGAAACTGTTAACCCTGGAAGCTCAGTGGTGTATTCCGAAGGTTCCCAGGAAGGCTTTCCCGAGAGCAGTTAGGTCAGCACCACTTACCATAACTTCAGTATTCCTGAGCACATTCTGATAACCAGCTGGGTGAAGGACAATGCCACTCGGGTTGGTGTAGACCCCATGGATGTGTAAGACGCTCAGCTTCCGTTTCTCCTGAGCCCACTCAAGGACCTGCACAACATAAACACAGCTTAACCAGGTGGGCAGGGCTGAGCACCTACTTCAAGGCCCCAATGGGCAAGACAGTCTTTTGAGGACCAGGCTTCCAACACAACTCTCCAGCTTCAGGATATCACAGGGCAAGAGTGTGGCCACTCGATGTGGCCTCTGTACTTCAGGCATGACAGTCACGAAGGATGGCAAGTCTGGTAATTTCTCTTGCAAAGAAACAGTCAAAAATCAGAGTCTGTCATCATCTGCAGAAACCACAGGGGCTCTTTCCACTGGTGACACAGGTGACAGCCACGGACGACCCTTTCAGTAAGGACCCCCAAGACGTCAAGCCTTGTAACGACTGCCTGATCTAGTCCCCTCTCACACTTACTCCAGGCGGGGCCATGTGGTTGCCTTTAGAGAACGGGGCATGAGCAAACAGGAGAAGAAGCTGGGAAACGTTGGCACGTGTGCCTTCTTTCTCTTTTGCTACTTTTGGAACCCAGCTACCATGCAAAGAAGTCTGACGGCCCAGCCAACAGCCACACAAGCAAGGTTATCTCACACCACCCAGTCTGGCCACCAGAGGACCACAGTCATGTGGGTAGCCTGCAAAACCAGCAGAATGGCCCAGCGGAGCCCATCAGTCCAGCTCAGGTGGCAACTTCACGTTATCAAGGGCAAATAAAGTGGTGTTTTAAACCACAAGTTTTCAGAGTGATTTCTTGTGCAGCAATTGATAAGTAGTCAAAGAATCGCTTCAGTCACCTGTGAGTTACCTAAGAGGCCACCAAGGAAGAGCAACCACTTAGATTCCAATGGTAAGAACCAACCGGGTCCCATGGTTTCCATTTTCCCGAGGACTTGAGACACTGTAAATTTGTTTTTATAACACTCTAGAGAAATAAGGTATGGACTGGGGAAGAAAGAGGTATAGAGATTTAGAATCACAAGTATTACTAGGCTCTATTCTGACTACCAGTCAGTGGCTTTAACCCTTTAACTTCAATACTGCCCCTAATGTGGACTAACTGCAAAAGCAAAGCTTGAGACTCTGGGATGAAAATGAGAAGGAAAATTTCAAGTCTGATAGATATCCTTAACTTTATTTTTTGGCTGCACCTCGCAGCATGTGGGATCTTAGTCCCCTTACCAGGGATTGAACCTGCGCTCTCTGTGATGAATGCATGGGTTCTTAACCACTGGACCACCAGGGAAGTCCAGGAAATCCTTAACTTAAAAAAGACCCTTATGTGTCTGATGCTGGTCATGATCTTCAGAGATTATGTCAGAAACAGGATGGAAGTTGTTTCTTGCCATTCATTTTTAAATTTCATTCAATCGTTCATTCATTCACAAAGTATTTACTGACCACCTACTAGTATGTGCCAAATACTTTCTTAGGCATCAGGGTAAGAAGGGCTGACATGATCCCTGTCCAAATAGAGGTACTATTCCTCTAGGGCAGACAACAAACCAAGATGAAAATGGAAAATTACGAGACAACTCCATTGAAAAACTGAATCCAAAAATAAGGGTGGGTCCCTTTTAAATGAGGGTGGTCAGAGAAGACCTCTGGAGGAAGTGACTCACAAGTGGAGTCTTACAAGTGAAGAAGGAGCAGGCCATACACAGCACTGGGGGGGCGGGGCGGGGGGGGCGCAGGAGGGAACACTCCAGCCAGACAAAACCAGTCCTCACAGCGCCATTTCTCTGAATTGGATTTCCTGTTACAACCTGACTTCAAGGCCAGCAAAACCACAAGGCTGGTGTTACAGCCACTGCTCTGGCCAGGGCAGTGCTGTGACAATGAGAGCCAGTGGGGAGATCACTGGTTTGCCCCAACTCTACTTGGACGGGCTCTAAGTGGGGCACAAGGGCAGGTTCCCAGGTAAACAAAGTGTACAAGTAAAATTGCAAACACTACAGGGCAGGACAAATGAGACCCAGTGGACATTTATAATCCTTTTTTTTTCTTTTCTCCCCTTCAATCATTAAATCTCTGACATCTTTTTATGGCAATGAAAACATTTTCCTTTTCATGGCTTCAGTGTATTTCATCAATCAATTTAATGATGTCATCTATAGGCTCTCCTATTCGTGCTAGATTTCCAATTGCAAGCCTTGGCGACCATTGTAATACAAGCCTTCTCTCATTAGATGACATAGGTGGACACCTATAATTTCAATACTATGAGAGATGACTTAGGTATAGTATAGGCTACATAAAAGAAAAGTCTGCTGAGGTATCCTTTAAATATTAACCTCATCCAGCTGTCACTTGGCCTGAAACTTGATTGTCAAGACATCAGAAAGTAGTTTTGTACATTTCCAACAGATGCCAAGAAGAATCTGTCCTAACAGAGAAACTAAATCAATACCACACCCACCTGATATTATCAAGTGTTAACAATTTAGATCTTACAGTTCAAATGGCTTCCTATAATCCTGCTTTAAAATTGAGTGAAACTGTCTAAACTCACAGAACTGAATACTTTTAAGATCTGTGCTTTTTACTGTACACTGATTTAATCTCAAAAAGCACAAATCCAACCAGGGATAAGAGTCTTCCCTCTCTACCTTTCCATGAACAGAGTGCTATACAACATCCCAACCAGAAAACAGTTACTTCTTTTTTTTTTTTTTTTAACAGTTACTTCTGATGAGGATTTCAATCTGCTGGCCTGAAGAAGAGACAAACTAACCCTTTCCTGTTTACCTTCTTCTCATCAGTAAGGTCAAGGGATTCCAGCTGTTTGCCCTGATCTGCCGCATACAGCTCCAGGAGATTGTCAAAGTTTGTAGTTAATACCAGGGCTCCGTTTTCCATCAGGTGGAGAACTGACTGAAGTAGCTGCTTTCCAGAATCTTCCATCTTTGACTCCAAGTCATCAAATACTTCATATAAACAGTCCTTGAAAAATGTGGATCGGACATTACTAGTGCGCTGGGGAGGGATATAAAAGGGAAAAGTTAGTTCTAGGCATTTTGGTAGGTCATTTGTTTTCATTAAATAATAGCAACTTTTTGACAAGTACTTTGCACTTACAGGTAAAATAATTGTCTCCCTTACAGGGTGGATAGGATACATGCCAAGTACCAACACAACACTCAGTCTGTATCAAGTGACCCAGACTATTACTCATATGCAAAGAAGCATACACTGTAAACAGGCATATTTATGAATGAAGACAGTGGGCATGGCTAGGAGAGGTGACTGCTAACAGTCTAGAGGAAAGCTGAGGTGGAAGACAGAGCACCAACCACCCTTTAAACAGGCCTCAGGTCAGAAGACAACACTTTCTGTTAAACCTTCCTTTCCTAGGGAATAACCACTAGACAGCTCTCCAGGTGGTTTAATGTGTCTTTTTCTAATCCCAGGTGCTTTTTACAGATGCTGATGGATAAAGGACAAGTGGTTTAACTTCTCCATGCCTGTTTTTCCCTGGTATAATCCAGCAACTTGTTTACAAGTCTTCCAGGAAGAATATTTATTATATGATAAAAGGTTTCCAAAAATCTGCATTTTGCAACTGGTAAAAATACCAAACACTAATCAGTTCTGAACAGATTCCCTATTTCTTAACATATGGTTCATTTAAATAACTGCTTTCCCAGCTTTGCTTTGAATACATGTAAAATCTCTGAGGACTAGTGAGGAAACAGAGTATCAATCTCAAGTGAGAAGTTGGCTTTCTAACTTCAAAGACCAAGCAATCCCTGGGGCCAAAGGAATCTGAAACAGGGAAGTAGCTATGTAATATGCTATAATAAATATCTGATCCGTATCTTATTCCTGCAACACCATTCCTTAGATAATATCTAAACAGAGAATAAGTTCTTAAAGGCCCCATTATTCCCCCTTCAAACTCCAAGTAACTGCAGCTAGCTGCTAGATAGCAGACAGCAATAACCCTTCTGTTAATCCTCAAAGCAGCCCCCTTACCTTCATGGCTTCACCTGTATACTGTCCTAATAGCACTGTGCTCCAATAAAGATCTGGTTCCGTGGAACCAGGTAAACAGATTCATAAAACATACTTCAATCTGTCAAATGTACCTCTTATTTTTCCAAGTGTTTTATAAAAATTACCTGTTTTTTCATTATATCTGCCAAATAAAGGGTGAATTGCTTTCACAGGAGAACAATGAGAGCACAGAAGTGAACTGTACCTCTGCCTGGTGATGACACACCCAAGAGTTTACCTGGTTCTGCTGATCACTGTTCTATGTTGCATCTACCCTGACCCTGTTGTCAGTGGCTCAGCCTCCTTCCCAGGGCTAACTGGATGGTAGAGCCCACAATTTACATGGCTAAGCACGTGTGTCACGTTTTTCAGCTTTTGCTCATTCTTTTATATCATGGCATAAAGTATTACATATTAGCAGCCCATGAACAACCAACTGGGAACTCTAATACTTAATAAGAATTAATGACCTGATCAGAAATAAACTCTAGTTACTGAATTCTACTATGTACAAGGGAAAGTGAAAGCATTAGTCGCTCAGTCATGTCTGACTCTGCGACCCCATGATCTGTAGCCTGCTAGGCTCCTCTGTCCATGGAATTCTCCAGACAAGAATACTGGAGCGGGTAGTCATTCCCTTCTCCAGGGGATAGAATGGGGATCTCCTGCACTGCAGGCAGATTCTTTACCATCTGAACCACCAGGGAAGTCCCAAGTCAACAACTAATGAATGTCATTGCACTTTTCTCAATTTGTTATCAAAAATACAATGCCCCTTTAATGTCTATCAAAATTGCAATCCATTTATCCTACAATCTTGCAATCTCATTTCTGGGAATATATCCCATAGATGTAATTACAAACAAATAAAATGACTTATGCAACATTATCACTGCTCTGTTATCTGTTACAGTAAAAGAATGGAAACAAGCCAAGTGTCCATATATAGGATACTGGCATGGAAAGACCCAGGATATACTGTTAGGTAGAACAAACAAGTGCAGATCTGTATGTCTAAGAGTGCTACCTGTTGACATGGGGGTGGAAGCAGTGAGGTAAGAATAAATAGAATCCTATTTGCATATTTTCACAGAAAGAAACACTGGAACAATCCCCAAGACAGTGGTAACCCACAGAAGGCAAGTTTGGGGAAAGGAACTGGACAAAGCTGTGGATGCAAGTGAGATGCCATGATGGATGTTAAACCTTTTTCGTCATTTTGATTTCTGCAATCTGTGTAAACAGTACCCATTCAGAAAACCAGATTATGTTTAAAAGTAAACAATACAGTGACTTTAAGAACTGCCCTGTCATCTCTTATACCTTCATTTTGTACTCTGATGCATGCGCATGCACACACACAGTTAAACAACAAGGTCATCCAGCACCAATTTAATCATTATGCACACAGGCAGAAACACCTGGGTATACAATCAGGTAAGCATGGGCATGGATATACTTCCTTGCTTCTAAGAAAATAAATACAGATGGTTAAAGCCTGGAAATAAAAAGCATGAGTCACATATTTTAGCTGACTATCTTTGGGTCCTACTTCTTTTGGTTATTACATTTTGCATCTCAACACAGAGAGGAAGGAAAGCAGCTACTGGAGCAGCATCAATTCCCTCAGACTTGGCAGTCAGTCTCTTCTCTCTTCAAACAGGTGACCCTAGAATTCAATTTCCCACCAGTGGCCTAAGTAAAGACAAAGGAATGAAAACAAATAAGGAAGTTCCGTGGTCAAAAGGAAATGCCGAACTCCCACACACATTTATGGACATTTTCTCACTCATTTACAACAGTGGACTGCATCCAAGGCTGCTTCATTTCCTCTTACCCTGTAACTCTCATCCTTCCGATCCCAGACAGTAAAAAAACAACACAAAAAGGTTACTAACATTTACTGTGCGTTATACTATGTACCAGGCACTTCACATACAGAAAACGTTCTCACTTATTTTTCAAGTGGGATAAGTAACATCATTCCAGTTTTACAGGAGCAAAAATAGATTCTGAGACGTTAAATGATGTGCCCAGGGTCCCGGTGCCTTTAAATGACAGTCTTTCTGCTCCTGAAATCCAAGGTCTTTGTAATGTCATTTCCCTACTGTAAGAAACTGGCTCAGTGGATGGGCTGTTTTGCTTTGTCATATTACTATTGTTTGTTAAGATTCTTAAAAAAACAAACAAAAAACCCCAAAATCCAAAAAAGGACATTCTCAAAGACACACAAAAGTGAAAAAAAAGAGAGTACAATACACCTCCCCCATAACCATCGTCCAATTTCAACAATCATCACCCATGGCCAATCCTGCTTAACCTAAACTCCCCTCACCATAACCCTAGTCCCCTTCACTGAAATTTTTCCAAGCATCATATCACTCAGATACTTCAACAGTTTCCTAAAAGATAAGGATTTCTGCTGACATACAAAAAAGTCTGCAATACTACTGTCACAACTTAAAAAATGCAATAATACCAATTCCTTAATAGCAAGTACTCAGTGTTCATATTTCCCCAAACGCGTTGTGTGTGTGTTTCTTACATATCTCCTACTGGATTGGTTTTCAAGATGCGGCCCATGGATCCTGTGGATCCCGAAGATTCCTTAAGAAGTCTGTAAAGTCAAAATTATTTTCATAACAACATGAAGGCGATATTTGTCTTTTAAAAGCATGTTGATATTTGCACTGATGGCACAAAAGCAACAGGCTTCCCTTGTGGCTCAGCTGGTAAAGAATCCACCTGCAATGAGGGAGACCTGGGTTCAATCCCTGGGTTGGGATGATCCCCTGGAAAAGGGAAATACCCACTCCAGTATTCTGGCCTGGAGAATTCCATGGACGGGTCGCAAAGAGTCGGACGCGACTAAGCGACTTTCACTTTCACAAAAGCAATGAAAGGAAGAACTGCTGGTGTCGTGGTGTGACTCAGGACTCAGGGAACCCAGCCTGCCAGTCATCACAGTGTTCTTCACTACCAAAGACTTACAGTAAGAGAAGAATGCCAGTTTCACTTAAGAACCCCTTAATAAATCAGTAAACACTATTAATTGTATTAAACACGGACCCTTGAGTACATGTCCTCCTAATATTCTGTGTAAAGAACAGAAGCACACACGAAGCACTTCACTTGCAGACTGGAGTCTGATGTGGGTCTTGAGGCAAAACGTTGGTGACTATTTTGAGTTTTAAGCTGAACTAGCCACCTTTTGTCATCAAACCTCATTTTTACCTAAAAGAATGACTGGTAGACAAACTATGATTATTCAGATTTGAGTATTCTGACCATTTTTGCAAAAATAAATGAAGTGAGCCTGTCATTTCGAGGAGAAACAACCCAATGATTGCTGCCACTGCTGCCAAAGACAAAAGCTGAGCTTTCCAGCGAGAATCAGGATTTCTAAAAAATGTTTACCTGCCACCATGAGCATGACAGCTTCCAAATATCTTTGTGATGGGACTGGCAGTGATTTTAAAGGATGCATTTTTTTATATGTTATAATGAAATGGGTCAAACTCTAGAATAAGAAGATTCTTCTACATGCAAGATGGATCATGGAGCTTAACACATCAGAGTAAGGGAAGTTCAGATTCTGTATCACCACTGACATGACTATAATCTGACTTTCAGATTCCTTACGGATACTAATCTCCAGGAAGCCATCACTTACAAAATTCTGGTGTAGTATCAACAACGAATATCTATAGTTATCCAAAAAGCGTATTAAAATACTTTCCTTTTTTCCAAGTGTGTACCTGTGAGGCCTCACTTTTTTCATACAGTTATACCAAAGCCCCACAAATACACCGAATTGACTACATAAAGCAGATGTGAGGATGTGTTTTCTATTAGGCCAAACACTGAAGAGATTTGCAAAACATGAAACAATACCACTATTCTCACTAATTTATTATTCTTTTTCACTAATTTATTTTTGTTTTGAAAAATATAGTTGTGTTTCATAAACATGTTACTTATGTTAGCATGTAACAGGTTTCTTATTTTTAAGAGAATTTACTATTTTTTCAATTTCTCAGTTTTAATTTCTAATAGTGAATATGAAAGAGATATAACCCACAGAAACAAAAGCGGTTTGAGAGTCTCAATTATTTTTAGGAGTGTAACAGGGTCTTGAGACCAAAAAGTTTGAAAATTGCTGCTCTGTTGGAACTGACAATTACACTTTAAGGTGAGTAATAAATCTTCATCCAGAGATAATCATTGAGTCCAGTTCATTACTTGGTTAGTATATACTGACACTGACTTTAAGTTCTCTCATTACTTTCAGTCATAACTAACCCAACTAACAAGGTCATGCTTTCTACTCTCTGAAGACCACTCCAACAGGCAAGTGGCATGGCAGACAAGTCCATGCTACCAAGTCTTCCTGGACTAATACATAATACAGCATTCTTTGTCCTCATGAGCTCTTTCTTTTCCCCCTAGAAAGGCAACATTTTTATTGTTATCTACTTAATTCTTATTGGGAGTACAGCTGCTTTACAATGTTGTGTTAGCTGCTACTGTACAGTAAAGTCAATCAAGTTACATGTACACACATATCCCCTCTTTTTCTGGATTTCCTTCCCATTTAGGGCTTTCCAGGTGGCTCAGATAGTAAAGAATCTGCTTGCGATGCAAGAGACCCAGGTTCCATCTCTGGGCTGGGACAATCCTCTGGAGAAGGAAATGGCAGTCCACTCCAGTATTCTTGCCTGGAGAACCCCATGGACAGAGGAGCCTGGCAGGCTAGTCTGTGGGGTCACAGTCAGACATGACTGAGCGACCAACACTTCACTTCGGTCACCACAGAGCCCTGAGCGGGGTTCTCTCAGCTACACGGTAGGTTCTCACTGACAACATTTTTACTGACTGGCTGGCATACTTCTTTAATACTTTTCCCTTTTATTTGCGGGCTATGTAATTTTTAATTACCATTTTATATGAAAAGTTCATGTTTTTTAAACATTAAAAAATTATGTATGCTTTCTTCTGTCTCAAGTGCACTTGTCAGGTATTAACACAGTCACTCTCACTTTCATTGACTAGTGTTCAAATCATAATTTTCTCATCCTTTTACCTTTAACGGTTCTATGGAGATACAGTTCACATACAATTCACTTATTTGAAGTGCACAGCTGAGTGGTTATCTGTAGATTCACAAACATGTGCAACTGTCATCATAGTCATTTTTTTTTTTTTGGCCATATATCATGTGGCTTGCACGATTCTCAGTTCCCCAATCAGGGACTGAACCCAGCTGCAGCAGTGAAAGCCCGAAATCTAATCACCAGGCCACCAGGGAACTCCCTACCATGGTCAATTTTAGAAGATCTTCACCATCTCAAGAAGAAAGCCTGTACCCTGGAACTCTCGCCTCCTGCCCACCAACCACTGCTACTTGCTCCAGTCCTAAGCCACTACTAAGCTGCTTTCTGCTCTTACAAATTTTCCTAGTCTGGACACTTCATATGATTGGAATCTTCTAATATGTGGTCTTCTGTGACTGCCTTCCACTCAACATAATATTTTATTGATTTATTGATTTATTTTTAGGGTTTTTTTTCCCATTTATTTTTATTAGTTGGAGGCCAATTACTTTACAATATTGTAGTGGTTTTTGCCATACATTGACATGAATCAGCCATGGATTTACATGTGTTCCCCATCCTGATCCCACCTCCACCTCCCTCCCCATCCCATCCCTCTGGGTCTTCCCAGTGCACCAGCCCCGAACACTTGTTTCATGCATCCAACCTAGGCTGGTGATCTGTTTCACCCTTGAAAATATACATGTTTCAATTCTATTCTCTCAGATCATTCCACCCTCGCCTTCTCCCACAGAGTCCAAAAGTCTGTTCTATACATCTGTGTCTTTTTCTGTCCTGCATATAGGGTTATTGTTACCATCTTTTAAAATTCCATATATATGCATTAGTATACTGTATTGGTATTTATCTTTCTGGCTTACTTCACTCTGTATAATGGGCTCCAGTTTCATCCATCTCATTAGAATTGATTCAAATATATTCTTTTTAATGGCTGAGTAATATTCCATTGTGTATATGTATCATAGCTTTCTTATCCATTCATCTCAGCATATTTTAAAGGTTCACTCACATTGCAACATGTATCAGTAATTTGATTCCTTTTTACCAGCAAGTAATATTCCACTGCATGAATGTCACATTTTGTTTATTTGACAGCTGATGGACAGCTGCACTATTTTCACCTTCTGTCCATTATGAATAATGCTATAAACATTTGTTTATAAGGTTTTTGCATGGACAGATGCTTTCATTCCTCTTGGGTGTGTAGATATGTATGCATATGCAAATGGACCCACTGGGTCACATGACAACTCTGTATTTATTTGAGAAATGGCCAGACTGTTTCCCACCTTGTCTGTACAGTTTCACAATCCCAGCAATGAGGGTGCCAATTTCTCCAGAGCCTCGCCAACACTTACGATCCGACTGATTCTAGCTATCCCTGTATGAAGTGGTATCTGACACGGGTTTTCTGGCTGTACTGGGTCTCCACTGAGATGCACGGGGGCTTCTCTAGTTGCGGTGTGAGGGCTTAGCTGCCCCATGGCACATGGGATCTTAGTACCCTGACCAGGGACTGAACCCACGTCCCCTGCATTGGAAGGTGGATTCTTAACCACTGGACCATGTCACAGAAGCCCCTGACTTGGTTTTTGATCTGTGTTTTTCCAATGACTAATGATGTAAAGCATCTTTTCATGTACTTACTGGCTATTTGTATATCTTCCTTGAAGAAATGTCTATTCAAATCCTTTGCCATTTAAAAACTGATTTTAAATGCCAGAGAGGGTGTGGAGAAAAGGGAGCCTTCCTACACTGTTGGTGGAAATTTAAATTGGTACAGCCACTATGGAAAACAGTATGGAGGTTCCTTAAATAGAGTTACCATGTGATCCAGCAATCCTACTCCTGGGTATATATCTAGAGAAAACTCTAATTCAAAAAATTACACACACCTCTACGTTCACAGTGGCACAATTTACAATAGCCAAGACATGGAAGCAACCTAAATGTCCACTGACAGATGAATGGGTAAAGAAGATACAGTATATACATACATACAATGGAATACTATCCAGCCATAAAAAAGAATGAAATAATGTCATTTGCAGCAACATGGATGTAGAGATTATCATACTAAGTAAGTCAGACTTACTTAGACAAATATCATACGATAAAGACAACTATCATATAGAAGACAAATATCATATGGTAACACAGATGCAATCTAAAAAATTATACAAATGAATTTATTTATAAAACAGAAACAGGCTCACAGACATAGAAAACAAAGTTACCGTTATGGGAGTTTGGCATTACCAGATACAAGTTAGTACATATAAGACAGATAAGTAAGATCCTACTGTATAGTAGAGGGAACTATATTCAATATTCTTGTAATAAACTATAATGGAAAAGAATATGAAAAAGAATATATGTACAACTGAATCATTTTGTTATACACCAGAAACTGTATAGAACACTGTAAATAAACTGTATTTAAAACAATTTTTTAAAAAATTGGATTCTTTGCATTATTAAGTTCTCTATATATTCTGGATACCACACTGTTACCAGATACATGAGTTGTTTACATTGTCTCCCATTCTGGGGGCTGTCTTCTCACTTTCCTGATAATGCTTGGTGAGCCTAATAGCTTTGTAACTTGGACGAAGTGCAGTTTATCTATTTTTCCTTTTGTTTCTTAGGCTTTTGGTGTCACAATTAAAAAACTACTGCCAGATCCAAGGTCATGATGCTTTAAAACTATATTTTCTTCTAAAAGTTTTATATCTTTTAGCTCTTAACATTTAGGTCTTTAATCCACTGAGTTAATTTTTGTATATGGTATGAGGTAGAGGTACCAAGAACTCTTAAAAGTCTATTAATTCTTTATACTGTTCTAGGTAAGTAACATTTTATCTCAATTAAGGACAATGAAATGAAAAGAGGAAGTAACAGGCCCTAAGTTTCTGAATGAGTCAGGAACTAGAAGGGAATGACTTTTAAATGCTTTTCAGGCTGACACCTGATGGCACTTCTTTTTTATAGGCCCTAGGGTGTAAGGGCAAAAAGCAATGGTGATAACTGACTTTTAAAGGAGTTAAGAATTATATTTTTTTCCAAGGTGCACTTAATTTACTAAGCTTTAAAACATGCTTTGGCTACTCTATTATATCCAAATATATCTTAAGTGAATCCTGATTCTTAAAACATTTTTAAAACAAAGCAAGACAAGAAGGCCCTTATATCATTCAGGAACTGATTTCCAGCTCCGTTTGACAAAACATGACTCTCTCTCTCTCTCTCTCTCTCTCTCTCTATATATATATATATATATATGTGTATGTATATATATATATGAATGAATGACTGCCTTTAAAAAAACATTAAAAACTGGCATGTCTTCATCCACAAAATAAGAACTATCTCTGATCGTTCTGAGGTTCTCTAAAAGACATGGATGCCAGGGAACACAGCTTTTATAGTAGTGAGTATACTACTACTATAGAAAAAGTAAATTTAAAACAGCAATAATGGGATAGTGGCCTCACTTTGTATATATAAAGGCTTCAACAACATTATCATCATTACCACTCCCATCCCCACACTCAAATGGGGTCAAGGTAACTACCCTAATCAGGTCCGTGGACAGACATTTTGGAGAGGAGCCAAATGTTATACAAATCTACAAACAAGAAATGAACATCCTGATTGCATTTAGCACACATGTCCTATTTTAGGGAAGATCAAATACCAAGGCATACAGAGTACTCACGGGAGATAGTTTCTGGATGAGGTCATGGGCAACATGGACAAGGTTCTTGTCTTCATGGAGACACTTCTGAAATTTTTTGCTCTCCTCATCTTCTAGAAGATCAAAATCTATGGCTGCATCCAGTAAGGCCTGAATCAACCCCTTCCAGGACTTCAGGGCTGGGACCTGGGGTGCGACCGCAGCACTGATGCCTGTTCCAATCACCAGCACGAGCTCCCGAGGCTTCTTAGTTTTCAGGCTTGGGAGCAGCTTCCTGAAAGGGTCAAATGAATGAGACAACTGGGAACACCTAAAGAGACACGAGGCGCAGAGCAAGACCATCTTAAGCCACGGTTTTCAGCTCCACTCTTGCAGACGCAAAGATGACAAGCACAGGTCTAACGCCTTTACAAAGCAGAGTGAGCAAAAAGACCAGAGTACCGGGGCAGTGTTTGCTGAAAAACAGAGTAAAAATCCTACTGTGGGAATCCTAAAGAGCCTGATGATATCAATCTTCTCTTTTGTAATCCCCACAACCTAAGAAAACCCACTAACGGTCTGATTATCACAGCTCAGCTGAGTTCTGATAACTAAACTATATTTTAAATCAGCATACATTTCAAAAGACATGTTTGATTTGGACTCCAGAGAGAAAAGAACCCTCTCCAATATGAAATTCCTACCATTGAGAAATGTAAAACAGGAGACAAAAGAAAAGCCAATAACAAATTTAAGCCTCAAATTTGAGAACGTTAAGATGAAAATGGGCATGACTAAAGCTGAGCATGAGATAGTCAAATATGGGAACAAATTTGCCTTTGGTTTTGTTCTAGACATCCTCAGGCAAAAAATGAAATAGTGGCCAACAGAATTCTGAAAACACAAGAGCCTTACAGACCTAAATAAAGAAATAACTATTCAATGGACATGACGCAAGGTGGAAAACATTCCTTTCTTCCTGTGATAAGCACTGCGTTCTATCCTGACTTCTGTATGAGACAGCACGGGTGCAAGGTTTTATGTTTTGTTTCTCCATGCCCCTTCATCCTGAAACTGTATTATTAATAAAACCTGTTTGAAATATGTTTATGCACTTTAGTTTTTGCTGATGGCATGTGTTTTCTTAAGAAACTGCCCTTCTCAGTCTTTTGTCCAAATAATAAAATGAACAGAAAAAAGATCTATATGCTGGCATTAACGCAAGAAAGGAACAGGGCTTTCAGCCTTGAGAAACCTGGTTTTGAAACATGGTTTTCTACCTCTAGAACTGCCTTCCCTACTCCCAACTTCATGAAAAACTCATCAAGCACCACACACAATGGAGTCCTTGACTGCAAAAGCTTTGTCTGTTGGGGAAGACTGATAATAGAGGTTAGAAGCAAACAATGAAAAGTGTGCTTCAGTTCAAGGGGTCAAGGAAGTGACACAAACATATACTTAAGAAAATTTCTAGAAGGATTTATAAGAACTGTACGTAGTGGTTAACTCTGGGGATTGGGGAGAACAAGGACTTTTGCTCTGAACTTGAATGTGCTGTACTATTTGAATTCTTTACCTCAGACATTATAGATATGAAGTATGATTTTTCCAAATTTAAGATTTCCGGTTACAAAAGGAAAATGTAACAGTTGTTTCATTTTCAGCTCTTCCTAAAACACTAAACAAGAGTAATTTTTAAAGAAGGCATACGTTCATAAAAAGTCAAATCGGAAAAGATAACAGAAATAGGAGTAGACAAACTAGGTCGACAGAGCTTAGAAGCTGTCAAGCAAGAGCCGAGTCCCTGGGTAGAAGCTTGGGGACATTCGGGTACAACAGAAGGCAGAGCGTCAACTCACTGCAAGGCTGTGTCAGACGTGGTTAGAGCTCTAGGAAGGGAGGCCTATCTTCTAGGGAGGTTTGACCAGAGGCCTCTATATCTGAGAACACAGGGCCCAGCTTGAGGAGGTGGCTGTGTAAATTCTGTACAAGAAATATGAGACTTTCCCTTGCCCTCCCCTCCTAAAAGACGACTCTCGGGCGTGGGCAGTCAGCCTCAGACCTGTGCCCCAACCCCACTGGGTCAGGAGGTGGGAGGAGTCCCCTTTGGGGAAAATGGCCCACAGCAGAGACAAGGCCCACAGGGGCCTGCCAGCGACCAAGCCCCTCATCGGAGTCTCCAGTGGGCTCCTCAGTGTTTCCTGTTAGACAGCAGCAGGAACAGGTCGCCTCACCTTGAACAAACTCCCAGCATGAGAGTTACACCCAAACAAGCCAGCAGATAAGAGAGGAACTTGGGGAAAACAAGGGACAACACAGGAAAGAGAAGAAAAACTGAAAAGGAAAGAGGGACATTCTCACAAAGGTTTTTTAAAACATGGCATCTGTGAAACAGAACAGGATGCTATAAAAGAGAAAAAAAAAACTGGGCAAACAAAAAGATTTCTTAGAAATTAAAAACGTAACAGAAATAAAAATTCCTAAGGTGGGAGATACAACTGAGAAAATCTTTGAGAAAGTAGACTGATAAAAACAAAAGTGACAGAAAACTGCAAGAAAATTAGAGCCTTATCCAGAAGGTCCAGGGTCTAAATACCAGAGTTCTATCAAGAGAGAAAACAGAAAAGAACCGTAAAGGAAATCATCAAATAAGTAAAACAGGAAAATGTCTCTAAAGTGAAATCACCAGTATTCTGCTTAAAAGAGCTACCTGATACCTAGATTCATATGAAGATATGTTGCTGTGAAATCTCAGACTACTGAGAAAAAAATAACCATCCTTATGAGCGTCTAATGAGAAAAGAAAAAGAGCTCATATGTTACAAAGGACTGGGAATTAGATCAGAGTGGCTATTTTGGCAGGAGCACTTAGACGTTAGCAGAGGATGGACAACGATCTCACAACTCTAAGGAAAATGATTCTGTACCTAAAGTTTTCCACTCAGCCAAATCATCAAATCAATGTTAAGGGTACAGTAAGACATTGTCAAATGTCTCCCCAAACTGTTTTCCTCTCAAGTCTTACTAAAGAAGCTGATGAGACCTTTTTCAGCAAAATGAAGGTGTACACTGAAAAGGACGATCCAGGAAACAGAGGATGCAACACAGGAGGATGTGAAGGAGTTCTTGGGGAGACGGGAAAGGGGATGGCAGAGCTGCAAGGCGGCAGGCCGGGAACACAACTGTCAGAGGGAAGAGTCCACAGAACCGTTTTAAACTGGTATGTCCCTGGCGTGGGTCAGTGGATTAGGAGGTTTACTCTTCCATCACAGTCTGAGTTTAAATTAACAGGCTCAAAGAAACAAAGCAAGCCAAAAAAAAAGAAAAAAGAACACTCTTAATAAACAAGGAAAAAAACAGACAAGAAATATAATCATCACACATTAGGCTCAGCTATGAATACTATGTATACAGTCGTACAATGTAAATATCAAACTGAAAATTGTGATATAAAACATACAAGGAGGTTGCGGGGAGAGGCTTTGGGTGTGTGTGTGTGTTGGGAGCTATGAGGGGAGGATTCATGACAACAAACCTAATCCTTATTTTCCATAATTAGAAATAGATAAAACCAAAAACTAAAAAAAGCAGCAGTAAACAGAGTATTACAAATCTGGAAGCAAACATTAGAAGAAATAGACAAAGCTGAAAGTGATTAGCTCCAAGGAGGGCTGAGGCACTGTAAGCCTTGAAGAACTGACTTAAAATCATATACATTTCTGACCTTGGTAAAAATAAAAATTGAATGCAAAATAAAACAGTCGGATTTTTACACAAAGGCCAGTGTTTTCTTTTTCCTTCTTGAAGGCCAGTAGTAATTAGTGAAGCCAACTGGAAGGTAGGGAAGCTCACTACTTTCGTCAGCCGCCACCAACGGTGACCGGCTCTGCGCCTCAGGCTCCTTCCCTTGCTTACCTGGGCTTCTTGGTGGGGGGTGCGCCATCACTGAAGAACCCCAAAATCTTGTCTATATCCGAGGTCTGGCTCCCTGTGGAAGCCATCCAGTTTCTAAAATAGATTAAACACCATGGACCACAATTAGATGTGTAAAGCACATTATTCAAAAGAGCACAGGCATTAAATAGTTTTTAATAAGCTGTACATCCTGAAAGCAATTTAGAGGTATAACTGGCTTGACAGAAACTCGTTAATCACTGAGTGTCCCAAACTTATGGGATTAAATTCATCCAAAAGAAAGTGACTTTGAAATTAGGGTTTTGAAGCTCTATACTGTTATCTGACATATATAGCTAAATATATGTTCTGAAGGCTCCCCCACACTCCCCCACCCGGCTCCAGAAACAAACAGAACAGAACCAAACCACCATCAACTCATGTCAATTGTTGGCCATCACTTTGTGGAGCCTAAGAAATACCTGCTATTCTACCTTGAGACAGGTCTGGGGAAGACTGGGGTTTTCCCCTGGAAAACCCATGGGTGATTGTGCTACACACCCCAATTATTAATAGCCTTTACTAACACCTAAAGAAATCACTGGATCAACAATAGGATAATTAATACTAATTTGCTGACTGCTGGACATTCCTTGTCTCTGAACAACTGGTTCCTCACGGCGGGGAAGCATGACTCTCAAGCTAAGCATATGCTTACTCTCTTTCCCTAACAACGGTTCTATAAACATCTGTAATCTGGACAAAGTACACTCACATAAAAAATTGAGAAAGATGACTTGAGAAAGATGAAAATACGGAGGGAAGTAATGTTTATTAAATTAAGTCCAATGATTAATTCAGCTACTAAATCAGAGTTTTAACAAACTCTATAATAATGCTTACCACGTGCCAAACACAATTTACAAATATTAACTCATGTTATCCCCATTATCTTATGAAGTACTACTATCGCCCCATTTTAGTGATGAGAAAATTGAGGCACAGAAAGCTCAACATGTGTGTGTTCAGTCACTAAGTTGTGTCTGACTCTCGGTACCATAATTCAAAAAAAGGCAGTCTGCCTCCCAGGTCTGCGCTCTTAGCTGCGCTATTACAACCTAAAAACATTGTCCAAGTATTATCTTCTCACCTCCCCGCCACCCCATTTTTAATGTGCAGCTCAAAACCATCAAAGAAGGGAGCTCCCACATTCTAGAAATCTGAAAACCAAAACCTACGTTCAGATCCAGGTGCAGCAACTGTGATGCTTTAGAGCTGCGACCTGACTAGGTGCCCTGCTGACACAGTTAAAGCGCTCAGTTAAATTTAGGAGCTGAAGGAAATCGGTTTTTTCAGGTGATAAGCATTACATGTTACAAGTCTCCCAGCACTACCAAGTAACCAGAACCCCAGCTCAGCCCATCATTTTCCCCTGGAAAATGCACTCATTTTGCTGGATTCTCTTTTCTGACAGATGGTCGATTCTTGGTGTTGACACCTGAATACTAAGCTTTTCCATTTTTTTTCTTCACAGAGTCAACTATTCCTAAGGTCCATTCCATCTACATAATTTACGAGAATTAAATATGGCCAACAGCTCTTGACAAGTTGTTACTGGAATGTTCTGGGTCCTTTTACTTAGGAACTAAATGCGAAGTAATTCAATATGCCCATATTATATTTGATCACATACTCATTCTGTCTTCTAACATTTTTTCTTCAGTCTGAAATATGTCTCATATGATACAATATTACATATACACCCCAGTGACATCTAAGCATAAACCATATCTTATTCCTTCTAGAGTGCACTTTCAGAAAAAATAACTCTAGTTTAGCATTTAACCTAAACAATGTGCAGCTACTGCTAAAGAACTTCTAATTGTGAAAATCTTGCACAGAATTCCTAACATGCATCAACTAGTTCACACATTAATTTCTTTAAGTGATCACCACTGGAGTTTTCATTTCAGTGGGACTTAACAGAGGTTGGGAAAAGCTTTTCTGCCATAAGAAAACAAAGGCCAGTGTCTTCATTACCCCAATTACTGCTATGCTACTGAGAAATCCTTCAAGGCCAACAGAGTTCAACAAAATAAAAGACACTCATCAAATGCCAAGACAAGTAACCTTATTAGCTAAAATTTTAAGGCCTAAAGCCTCATATCAGATAGGATACTTTTACTTCGAAATATGTCAGCTTGGCAAGAAATAGGATGCTTATAACTGGTGGATGAAAAAGGGAAAAATTGAGGCCAGTGTTCTAGGAAAAATCTAGTAAGAGATACGGAAAAAGGATAAAAGAAAAAGAACTGGCTATGTGAATGAAATTAACATTATATAAGATAGCAATTATAGATGTGAAAGCATGAAAGAATTCCAGAAGTCTCTGTTTTCACAGCATCCTGGCTCTACAAAGATGGCAAGGTATGGCTTCCTTGTCCACAGAGGGATGAGAGTGGGGTCTCTCACCTGCTCTCCTCATGCTGATCTGGGGGTCTCCCTCTGCTTCTAGTGCGTGGTCTTCGGCTCTAACAAACCACTGACATGCACAATGAACTCAGAATAATACATTTTCAGATACAAATGGATGGAATAAATAAAGAGAAAAGTTCTAATCATGACATTTTTGCCTAAAAACAAAAGGTGTACAAATGACTCGCTAGGGAAGGAGGTACTTGCTTGGTCTAAAAGATCAGTTATATTTATAGCAAGCCTTACCCTTTTCTATTTAAAAATATAAATAAATAACACAGTGACTGGAATAGACTGGTTTATTTCTCAAGCATAAACACAGAAAAGGGTTAACTGTTTTCTAAGGGAAAAGACAGTCATCCTCTGACTTGGAAGAACCCAAGCCCCTCTGATTGTGGCTTTTGGACTAATTCCAACACATCTGTTTATTAGAAACTATGGGGAGAGGAAGGAAGGAAGAGACAGGCAGTGTAAAGTACTACAAGAGGGCACCCAACAAGCTTGCGGACAACGAACAATTCACTAAAACAGGTTAAGGCAGTTGATGAATTCAGTTCTATTGGAGACTGCAGCCTATCCTATCTGCTTTGTGTAGAACAAAGTTGCCATTCTCATCGTGCTCATTCACACAAAGAAATGGAACTGATATATAAGAACCGTACGAGGAATCTAGACAAAAGGCATAGAGGAACCTCTTCTCAGGGCAGGCATAGAGACAGAGACGCAGACACAGAGAGGACACGTGGACGTGGGAGGTGGGGGGAGATGAAGTGGGGGCTGGGACTGACATAGGTACCCTGCCCAGCTTAAAGCAGGGAGCGAGTGGCAGCCCTCTGCATGTCGCAGGGAGCTCAGCTCTGCGCTCCGCGACCGCCTGGGGGTGGGACGGGGGTGGGGATGGGAGGGAGGTGCAGGATGGAGAGGGTATGTGTGTACAGATGGCTGACTGACAGTGTCACAGAGCAGATACTAACACAACACTGTAAAGCAACTATACTCCAATTACACACACACACACACACACACACACGAACTGTATTTAGCTGTGCCTCGACTGTGATTCCTCTGTGTACCCCAGTCTTGAAGTCTTTCCTCTACCTCTGGTTAACTTAGTTTGCTCCTACTTTTATCCCTAAATTGCATGTGACCAACGCCCTCTTCCTTCTGTCAGATGAGACCTGTATCACACTCATTTCCTGGAAATTTGCTTTAACACAGTCACTGATAAAATGCCAGATCGGTACTACTTATTCTTGGGATTTCACCAGCAAACAATGACCTATCAGTGAAAAACGTGACAAGGAACTCATAAGATACAGGGTTTCTGGAAAGACTTTCAGGATTGAGAGGTATAATCACAAATTCTAGAAAGCCTTTTAACTCAAGTCCCAAAATAAACTACACTGATATTCCAGGCTCAAGAGCTCAGATGTTGTTTATATCAGTTATTTTCTATTATAAAACCAAAGTAACACAGCATGTACAGGGAACAAAACTGTTTCAAGAAGAAGTAACGGAACATCCAAATTAAAATCTGATTTGAAGTAGAAGCTGGTGATGGATGTCCATGGTTTTACCGTGCAAAGAATGATAACTGATAAATTCCTTCTGTGTCACTGCTTTCCCTCCTGTGAAGTTTCTGAGAAGGTACATGCTGAAAACAATGACACATGATGCTAAACAAGGAGGCTTTAAAAATATTTAATGAAAAAATTTTCCACGTCCAAGTAGTATGACCGTGCAAACAAATTTATCACAAATGACCTGGCAATTCATTAAAAATGAGAGTAAATAAATCTTCAAGGGTAAGACTGGACACTCTAGCCAGTCCTTAAAAACTGAAGTCCTCCTCCAAATAAGGCAGTGTGAATTATGAATGACTGTGCCCTCAACTGTTTACTTCTCATGAGAACAAAAGGACAGCGAAAGATGCAGATTCCTTCAAGTCTGGGCCAGCCCACAAGTCATCACCATTATAGAGGATCTCTCTCAGAGCTGGAATTTGACAAGTCTTAAAGGGAAGACTTTCCTGTCACGACTTAAACAGCAATGATTCTGTGGGGGTGGGGGGGTGGGTGCGGAATTTAAGTTGCATTTTGACATACAGCTTGGCAAATGTTGTGCTTAAAAACCTCAAGTGTAGCTGGATGTTAATAGTGGTTAACTGAACTGTCAACACCAGGCTAGACACCTCAGAGGTCCCCACATTGTGGCCATGTAATCCAAACCCCATTTCAAAAAAAACAAAAACAAAAACCCCATTTCACACCAAACCGAGTGCAGAACATAAGAAAGATAAACAAAGTAGACCTGTCTTTGCATGGTGTCTTAAATGGATAGAATGCATACAAAAATTGGGGTCTTATGTTTAAAACTCAATTATCAAAATATCCAATCAAGAGAGATTTAGGAATAAGCTTGCTTTGAGTGCATTCAATCTTCTTATCCTGTCATTCAACAGCATCAAATGTCTACAAAACACTCTTGAACTTCCCACTCAGGATGGCACTGTAACTGGAGACCTAAAGAGGTCATGGCATTTCCTTTTAAAGAAAAAGAGGGTGGGCAATTACATTTGGGGGTGATGCACACACAGTTCTATTTTTTAAAAAGGGAGAAAAGGCCTTGACAA